TGTAATTTCATTTTTTTACATTTTCTACCCTAACTTGCTATTAGTACACCTATTTTTGGTTTATTTCAATCGAGTTCTTGAACTTTGATTTTTAAAAATTTTTTTATGCGTGTCTTTTTTATTATACCATTAAAAAACTTGCATTAAATTTTATTTTCTCTAATAAAAGAACCCTCCAAAAAATAATATTATATTTCCTAATTTAAAATATTTTAAATTAAATAAATTAAATTTCAAAAAATTTATTAATTAATGAAAAGTTATCTATATCGAAGATAAAAATGTTTATGTTTATTAAATTTTCCTAATTACTTTATTAATAAATTCAACTAAATGTAATTAAATTAATCCTAAATAAAATGTTTATTAAATTTTAGCCTTATTGCAATCAAGTTAATATTTGTATATCAAAACTTGATTTTTTTAATTAAATCTTTAATTATAAGATTCTGATTAAAGAACTATTTCGATTAAATCTTTAATTAAAGAACAATTTCAATTTTTTTATTACATCTTTATTCCAATTTTTTTATTTACTAAACAACTAAATCATTATGTTGTCTTCCTTCATTTTTAATAATTAAGCTATAAAAATTACTTCTAGCATTTATATTCGAACTAACCATAAACCAAATTAATGTCATTAAATTAATCTTAACTAATTGCATTAATCCAAATTTAAATATTATATAAATTGAAAAATAACAATAAACAAATTAAAAATATTAAGCTAATAACTAATTAAAAAAACAACATAACAATTTAACAATAAATTAAAAAAATTAACAAACCAATTAATAAAAGTAACTTAACCAATAGTCAACAAAATTTAACTAAATTACCTAAAACAATTATATAATTAAAAATTAACTTAAAACAAACAATTAAAAAAATTGAACTAATAATCAACACAAATAAATAATTAATTAATTAACAAATTTAAAATAATAGTTAACAACTAAATAACTAAAATTTAACCTAACAATTAATAACAAATAACTTAACAAGTAATCAACCTTAACTAAATTACAAAAAATAAAATTTAACCTAAAAATTAACATAATTAAAAAGTAACACTTAACAAAATTAATCTAATAATTAACAAAATTAAATAAATAATAAATAAATATATACTAATAATTAACATCCAAATTAACATAATTAAAAATTAACCTAACAATATAAATCAACAACAATCAAATAATTATTAAAAAAATTAAATTCATAAATAACAAAATTAAACGAATAATTAATCAACTAAAAAATAATAAAATTAACATAAACATTTATAATATTAATTTAATTTTTTTAAAAAAAAACAACAAAGTTAGAGAGAGAAACACTTACCAAAGAGATCTATGAGCGAGAGGAGAGATTGAGTTGGAGTTTGAGGGAGAAAGATGCGTCTCACCAAGTTAGATGGTCCGGGAAGGCGGTGGCTTACGTGGGGTTGCGATTTGAGGGTGGTGGCTATGTTTTGTAGAGGAGCGGGAAAGACCAAATGAAGAAGAAGAAGAGACACTACCTAGTTATAGGATTTTTTTTTTTTAACGACGATTGTATTTTTGTCGCTAATCTGTCGGTGAACATAAATGTCTATCACTAATTTGAATTCCAAACAAGTGCCGAAGCCTTTGAAAATTTTAGAAAAATTGCCCAATTAGCGATGAATTTGGTGATCCGTTGCTATTTGAAATTCAAATTAGCAACGAATGCGGTGATCTATTGCTACTTAAAATTCAAAGTAGTGACAAATTCATAGTTCGTCGCTAATTTAAATTTCAGATTTAACCCTTGGATTGCCCAAGAGCTAGTTATTTAGCAACGAACAATATCCGTCGCAAGTTACTCGATGAATAGTTATGGAATTGCTTTTCGTCACTAAATCAATGACGGAAGTCCATCGCTATTTTGTCGTCAAATGTGGCGCTTTTTTTCACTACGTTATTTAGCGATAAAATTGAAACTGTCGCTGAATTTTCCTCGCTATTTTGTCGTTGTTTAGTCATAAAAATTTTCTTCGTCTATTCCGTCGCTAATCTATCGTTAATTTGTCTCCATTTAAAGGCGAAATTAAATCCGTCGCTAATTGTCTATTTTCTTATAGTAACACGTGCTAATTCCAATAAATCAGCTCTTCTTTTTTTGATAGAAACTGACATACACTAAATCATCAACTCTTCTCATATCATCTCTTTGAAACAACACTTTCTCGTACTTATAAAACAGAAGGGGAAAAAAAACAAAAAAAGAATTTCTGGGAGACATAATACAAAAGGGGTAAACAATAGTCTCCCCATCAATTGGGCAAGGGATTCAATCAAACCCCCAATGCCAAATTTTGAACTACTTATTCTAATCAATGGAAGCTTAATTTTCTTCTTCCTTTAACGTTTTAATTTCTTTCAGTTTTAATACCGACATGTGATCTTTTTGTAAACAAGAAAATCTTCCACCTTATTCCGCTGCAAAGACTTTTCTAGATAAATATTTTCTACTTAGAGCAACATGGTTCATTATTATAGTTAATGTAAATTTTCCAGCCCATTAAAAAAAATATAAAAATATTATAGCCAATAGTCTATGACTTTATTTTAATGGGTTGGAAAACCTCAAAAAAATAATAATAATAATTAAACTCATAGTTTGATTATGATTTATTCAACGCACACAGGGACGTTTGGAATGCATTAAGTAAGGTTACGAGTATGATCCATAACGTAAGGGTTGTGCAAAGGAGAAGCAACTTTTCTGCTTTAGAAGGAAAAAGCAAAATCTTCCCTAAGAAATATCAAAATCAAAAGAGCACTACTTTTCATGCTTTTTGATGCGTTTTGTAAAAGAATAACTTTACTTTCTTTGATTTTCGTAACCAAACATTCTCATCTTTGGAAAGCATCGAAAAGTTACGGTATAAGGGTTCAAAATAAATGAATTAAAGTTAAAGTAGAAAAATAAAGGATTAAGAATAAAAAAAACAAAGATAAGCATCTCTTCTTTAAACATTAAAGATGTTGCTACTTTAGAATCATAAAAAGATCATTATCCTTGACAACTTTAAATCAAAACCCTTAAGCATAAGAAGGGAATTTGTCGTTTCTTGCTTTAGAAAAGATTAGGGTTTTTGGAACTAATGCAGTTTTTTTGGAGGACAAAAGTGGGTTTGATGAGTTGCAGACTCTCATCTCTCTTCTTTTGAAATTAATCCAGCTTATTTATACTAATATTGTCTTAGTATTACTTTTCACTCGTCTCTTTATATATGCACTTTTCTCTAATTTCTTAAAGGAAGAAGCCACCTTCTTAGACTGCTTTTTTACTCCTTTCTTTCACCTTACCTCTCCTAACAATTTCTTTTTCTTTTTCTTTTTTCTTTTTTTCTTAATGTGGTGGCAACATTCTGTCACTCTTGTTGAGCATATAAAAAATTATAGAATATATCAATATGACTAGATTCATAATATTGAAACAGCTTGATTGGCTGGCTAGTGTAATGAATCTTTCACTCTCGTAATACTAATATGTTATTGGAGCTGAATTAATCATATAATATAATTAGTTTGGTTTCGATCTCAACGAGATTGATATTATAATTTCTCAATTAAATACATACCGAACCTCTATTTACTGAGTTTTTTTTTTTCCCATTATACTGCTTTCATGATACCTTTTATTTATTTATTTTCTGGCATGAGTAGAGTGAATGAATATCAACCCTTCAATAGAGCTGATCGATCATAATGAAATGAAAAATAATAATGTTAACGTACCTGATTTCATATTTTGACTTGTTATCAAATTCCATTATAATTAATTAGAAATTAAAGAGAAACTCGTGGTTATGAACTTAAATGATAAAGAAAAAATAAAAATTGTATTTCATAAACACGCTTCTAGAATACATTGTGGTTTTTTTTATTGGTTTCAAGCAAATCAAATCAATTCAAATCGATCCTTCGAGTATAGACCAAACCTTTTGTTTAATAATATCCAAGAATTATGCTCTTTTGATTATGATACTAACTTAATTATCTTATTGATGTCCCTAGCGGAAAACACTGGGTTATGTAATCAAAAATATGCGAGTGTATGGAATCTAATTTTCCCTCAAAAGCAGGAAGATATAGTTTGTTAGCATGACTTAGAAAAATATATGGTTTAATGATTATAAATTGCAGAAAGTGGGTGTCCCTTTTAAAGCAAAGCTCTTCTCTTTTTTTCAATCCTGGTGGCTAGAATTTAACCTTTCTTTACCGGGCTAACTTTATCTATTCAACTTTTTGTACGTTCACCTTTTCTACCTAAGATACGTTATTATAAGATAAATGGTAAAAGTGGGAGCATTAATTTGTAGCACGATGAACAATATATAATGAGTGAAAAGGTGACATATAATTGAGAAAGAGACTATTTTGATTGTGTTGTGCCATGTCACTATGAAACACATGTCTGGCGCATTAGGTTCATCCTTTAGTTTCAGCTTGATCGGCGAAGACATTAGTGTCTTCTTTGTTGGCAAGAAAAGAAAATCCCATTATCAATTTTATATATATAATAAAAAGAAAAAGATTATTTAATGCCATATAATTGATGCGAGTTTCACCTTGCCAACAATATCAGACTTGATAAGTTTCCTAATACGGCGGTCAAAAAATCAATATACCAATTATTACATTAGAATGCATGGCGATGCACTATTTCTCACCGCTAATAAAAATAAAATAACATATTTCCATAATTCTGTAGAAAAACATTAAAATTGATTTTTTTTTCTTTTAGAAATTAGGAATTTTGTCGCAACTTTGCACTAAAGAAAATAATACATATATTTAGACTAAACAAGCATCCTAATTAAAGAATGAAATGAAAATTAGAAGGAAGCTAAATGAAGATGTTTAAATCAATGGAATCAATTGAACTATATATAATTGACTAGCAATCAAATGTTTGATATGTCATTTCACCGTAATATGAATAGCAGCACTCTGAAAATGAGAACTATGCCGAATGAGTTTGCTCATAAAGATTTTGGTGAAAAGGAACAAAGAAACCTTATCCCAACAACTGCAACAACTAAGAGACTTTTTGAACGAGGATTCTTGTCCGCGTCTGATTTGAAACACACACGAAATTCCCCTCGTACATTATGGCCCAATGCCCATAAACTAATGGTTAGCCATAGTGGAGCCTTGTCGCACGAAGTCTCAAGATCTTCGAGCTAGCATTGTCTCAATAAGAGGGATACTAAAGGGGTTTACGTCACTAGGGGGGCCTAAAGTTGCCGAAACTTGAATCCCAAGCCTTACGGGATAAGAGACATACTCATTAAGGTAACAACCTTCATGCTTTCTTTGAGCCAATGGAACTATTATTCTTACCTTCTTTTCTTTTCTTTTCTCCATCTTTAACAGCCATTGTTTCTTTTACTTTGGAAACCTTTTCAATCCCACCATAACTATGAATACCTAAATAACTTTTGAACACTAATCATATAATTTATATATCTTTCTTAAGATATGAGTTTGGTCTTCTTTTTCTCTTCAAATAATGGTGATTCTTTATCAGATTTGCGATCACTTTCTTTATAAAGTTTTTAAATATACTTCTCTAATTAATGGCCTAGTGCTTTTGCTTTGACAAGTGGTAACGCTATTTTCCAACGTTCAGGGGCTAATTAATTCCGCGGACCAAGTGGTTCCATAGTGCTAGCTGTTGCCTGGATCGTATATAAACACATCATGCATGGAATTAGCCACACCTTTTTAATGTTAGATTTTAAATTTAATTGGAGCATTTTATTACTACTCTCTTTCTTATGAAAATATTGTTTCTTTTTTTATTTACAACTGTCTCAAAATGTTTTTACGGTCAAAATTTTAAATAAAATATTTTCTTAAAATACCTGTAATTGATAAAAAAAAATTCAATTCTTTTTATCGTTTATGTAACAAAAAAATTGATATTTATTATATTTTTTTCTTTTGCATACAAATACCTTTAAAAAAAATTCAAAATTTTTTTTATTACATGAAAAATATTCATTTTTTGTAAAAATTTTACTACATGCTAAAATTTTTAAAGTAAAATATTTTTATGTGTAAGCTATTTTTTCATAATTGTTTTAAAATTGATTGTTGATTACCGTAATAATTTTTCATTTACCATTTTAATTTTAGATGGATTATACCATTAAATTAATACTAGTTCCATATAAATATGTAATGCATGATTAAATTTGATAACTAACAATTAATTTTAATAAAAAAGAGTATATTAGAAAAGCATAAACAGAAAATACTGATATAATATAAAAATTAATAATTTTTTTTAAATTGTATAAAAATTCAAAATGGACGATCTATTTGGAACAAAGGAAGAAATATTTTATTTTTTCTTCAATTGGAACCTATACAGGACATAACTTCAATGGCATATATATATACGGCATTTTAATTTACACTAAAACAATTGTGGGCATTATAAGACCAAAATGTAGTCATAGCAAAGCACTATGGCATCAAGATTGTAAAAAATAAAAATAAAAATGAAATATTAATGCTTGTTCCTGAGGCCTGATCAAATGAGTTCACTCTAGTTCTACAAATTAAATTCGAATTATTATAATTGCCTAGCTATAGGAAACAATTCAGAAGCTTGATTCCTTGGTGTGATTCCCATGTTTATTTCGTGATTAGAAAAAAGTTAATGGAAAATAATTTCCAATCAACGAAAAATAATAAAATATTTTTGAAAAAATGTTTTCTCGGTTTAAAAAGAGGAAAACATTTTCCGGCTCACAAGTCGTTTAGCTCTTGCGTTACTTATCTCTCTCTCGATATATTTTATTATTTTTTTCTCTATCTTCTTTTTATTTAAAATATATCAAATTAATTTTTAATTATTCCTTATCAATTATTATTTATTATTTAATTATTTTTTCTCTATTTCTATTGATATTTGATTGTTTGATTTATAGATACATTAAATATTCTTAAAAACCATTTTCATACCTTAAATTTATTTTTATAATAAATATTTCAATAATTTATCTTTATTGTTTTACTATTATCTCAAACACCACATACATTATTCTTAAATGATTGAAAATAATTGAAAATGATTATTACAAGATTGTAATTTTTTGAAAAAAATTTGAAATTAATTAATTCGTTAATAAATACATTATTTTTCCAACATTATTCATTTACAACTAAATCAATAATTTGTAATTTTAGTCAGTTATAAAATTTTTTTGGTAATTGTAGGAATAATTAGTTATAATTTATTCCAACATTAATCTTTTGAAACCAAATGAATAATTATCTACAAATGATAACTAATAATTCATAAAATTATTTTTAAAACTAAATTATCAGTTCAATTTCTAAAAGAAAAAAAAATCTTAAGTGAGTTACCAAAATAACAATATTGGGATTACTTAAAAAAAAATTTACTAATGTGAATATTGACTTGATTTTGTCCCATGTAATTTTGATAAATTGATTTGATGGTTAGAAAATGACAAATTTTATAATACACAAGAAATAACTAGTGGCATATACGAGTAGTTACTCTTTGAGCTCACTTTGAGGAGAGAGATAGACAAAAGCGTGAGAGAGAGAGAGAGAGAGAAATAGGAGAGAGAAAATAAAAAAATTTGAGCGGACGTAAAAATCTTCTTATCACCTTTGATGGGTATAGATATAATTTTTTTCTTTTTTTATGTATCTATCTCTCTCCTCAAAGTGGACCTAAGGAGTAACTACCGTATATGACACTAGTTACTCCTTGTGTATTATAAAATTTTTCATTAAAAAACTACATTTTATTTTTTTGAATTAAAATTTTAGAGTCGGTATTTATAAAAATTTATTAATTTTTTTCTAAATGTATCTTATATTGTGAAATTATGGATATGCTTTTTTGAAGTTTTCTCAAAACTTGTTGATGTAACAATTACATACTCGTTTTTATATTTTAATTTTTTATATCAAACAAAGCTGAAATATATTTTTCAGCAGTTTTTTCATATAATTGCCAAATGACAAAAAACATTTTTTTAGAAAATAATTTTCTGAAAAATAGCTTCCTCGAGAATTGATTTTTTTATGAAAGTTGTTTTCTATCAAACAAACGGAGCCCTAGTTGATCAACTAACCCCGACAACTAATCCAATAACCCTTATGTTTTAATTATGTCAACTATCCCCCGTAATAGTTGATCGTTTTACGTTTTCAAGAGAAATTAATTAATTACCCTCCTTTTTTTGAAAGCCCTAAAATGATGCCCTAGAATTTTAGTGGGCAATTTCTATCGAAAATGTGTGAAATAATGTTCTTGTTGGGGTGTGATTAAGGTAAAGTTGAAATGTAGGGGGAGGGGGGAGTGGGGGGAGAGGGGGGAAGGGAATGCGCGATTTAGAACTAGGTATAGCTGGGAAGGGGATTGAGTTTAACTCAAATACAAAAAATTAAAAGAAAATGGATGATTGAAAATGTTAGGACGGTTATTAAGTTCACTGATCATCAGAAAATATGCTTGATCCGGAGTAAACAATAACAAATATCCTTTTTTAACCGGCAACTGCCTCGTCTAATTTTGAAATGAAGTCAATACAAATAACTAGAAATTTGTATGGAATTTGGCCCTAGAAGAATAGTTGGTGGCATTACTGGCCTGAATTCTGGAGAAAATGAATGTAGTGGTAAGAATTAGTTTTTTTTTTTTTTAGTCTTTAAGATTTCTGCAACTATTACCTGAACTCCACGACCCTTTTTTTGTTTTTCCGTCCTAGCAAAAAAAACAAACACACTATTTTTTATAAATTTTTTATCAATATACAGTATTTAAATTTTGAAATTATATTTATTGAAAGTTGTTATATTTTTAATATAGTATAATATCACATAGAATACCTGAGCAAAATCAAAAAATAAAAAATAATCAAATACTACCTTTTAATGTTTTCTACCGACTTTTGAGGGGCATGACATTTATAGCAAAAAAGGCGACTATTTTAGTCTAACCCTTGTAATATAGAAAATTAAATATCATAACCATGTTATGTAGACTGGCCCAACAATTCCTTGATTTGGTGGTAAAGATCGGGTCGGGTTAGGAAAAGAAATCAGACATGGAATCTTCAATCATCATCTCGATCGACAGAAAAACAAAGCACACGAGAAAGAAAATCACGAAATTTTTTCCAGTTCTAATCGATGTACATTGTATAGCTTTTAATTAAAGTGATTCTTCAGCAGAACAAAATTATACAGGAACGTTAACATCTTTGCACCGAATTATACCAGGTGTTTGTTCAAGACAAGCAAAGAGAACCCTCTCCCCTCCAAAGACCCACCAAAAGAGAAGGATACAAATGTTTGGCATCTACAAAAGACAACATAGGCATGGAGACAAAGTTTCCACACACCTTAAGCCCTTTTACAGACTTTAAGAAAAGGGGAGCTAACAAATGGTTCTTTTCCACGAGGTCACTTTCTATGGCCTTCTCTCTCTGTCTCTTTCTTTTCTTTCTTTAACCTCTTATATGTATATATTATGAGTGATTTTCTTTTTGCATGAAAGTAAGGGAAGTCTGGGATCTGAAAGTGTTTACAATATATATATATATATATATATATATATAAACATATTCCAGTTATTCAAAATTTGATCATGATCACCTCCTTTCTCTCTTTTCTTTTTTGGGGTGTGTTAATTTGCTTTTATGGATTTATCATTTGAAAGTGATGAGTAAGGGATCCAAGGAGAGTGAGAGTACTTCATGAGCTGCTGTTTTAAGCTATGGGAAAGATAGAGAGAAAGGGACGGTACCACTATCTAGTTTGTTTGTGTGTATTACTGCTTAGTGTTACGTTATGGGTGCGGTGGTCAAAAAAGAGAAGCGCACAAGGGAATAAACCAGAAACGTGAGGGATGTTTGATTTTGGAACTGATGATGCTTTTGATGATTGATGGGTCGTTTTCCCTGAAGCATTCTTATTTTGAGATAGAGAGCTTTTATGCATGTGGCAATATTCCTAAGGTTTCATGTATGTGTGTTGATCAACACCAAAGCATAAGTATCATCCAGGTTCCCAAGGCCACTCATTTTTATTTTGGAATTACTTGCTCTCTTTGTGTCGTCGAGTATGGACTGTGGAGTACCAGACTGACCCTTTCATGTTTGACACATTCTATATTTTTTGAGGTTTAAAATTTAAGCACAATACTGCCCTGGTCTGATACACTAGATGATTATGTACAGAAGTTTGAATCTCACAAACAATAACATTATTGAATAGAGTTATCATTGACCCTCAACGATATCCAAACTTTGCAAACCACCAGCACCACTCCTATCAAACACACGACTGGTATACAAGCAGCTTCAAACGCTAATCTGCTCAGAATTGAAAATTTTGCAATTGAAAGCCTGAAATAACGGAAGCTCTTCCAACAATCTTCCTACAGGCCCAGATTGTTTTAGACTTTTCGGCCTTCGGCCATTGAAATATTGACCTTTCAATTGATGAACTTTAACACTATAAGCCCAAGTCAGGCCTGGATGGATTCCATAGCTGTAATTGTGCTGGACATAGCAGATGCCCACCCGGACCCGCCTGAAAAACACCCAACTTTAACATGACCTGCCTCCCTCTAGTTAGATAATGCTTCATTTGTCCCGCTCTGTCCATCAAGGTTACTGCTTAAAAGGAGAAATTTTATAATATTTAAAAAATAATTAATAATATGTACAATAGTTATTTTATGAATCTATTTTATAAAGAGAAATAGACATTAAAAAAGAAAAGAAGGATATCTCATAATATTTGGCTGACTTTTCAGATATACTTGTCTACTTTTCAAATTAATCAAATGAAGTAATTACAATTCTATTATACGGACTTCTAAATCTGTCAATTTTTTGATTAATTACAATTCTATTATATGGACTTCTAAATCTGTCAACAAAACATATAACACTCATAGTAATTAAAACAATAAATAATGTTTTAATAAATAATTAAAAATTCAATGGTGGACAAACAAATTGGGACGAAAGGATATTGTTTTTAGATATACATTGTACAAAAAATATATTAAAAATATTACATAAAATAAAAAAATCAAGCCGGTCCCAATCTGGTGGGATCCAAATCCAACCCGGTTATACCCAAAACCAGATTAGAATCTGACTACTAGGCATGCATTAAACTCAACGAAAGTCAGCTTGGAATTATAATCTGTCCAACAGTTGCCTGGCCTCAGCCAGCATCTTATTTCAAAGCCCAGCCTACCTAAATATCGAGGCCTAAAATTTATTTCTAGCCTAGAAGACGACAATGCAAAATGTTACTCTGCTCTGGCGCAAGCAAGCATGAGAATGCGCAATGACGCCGAGACTCACACGTGAGCACTCACCCGTTGCTCTGAAGGAAAATGACAGAGAGATTGCTGTTTTGAAGTACCAAACACGAGACATAACGGGTTTAAGGCATTTGACCTAAATGACAAAAGACCATTAACTTTTTTTTTTCTATGGCCCTTCTTGATCGCATAACTAATTTGATCTCAGAATACCTAATGCTTATGGAAAAGAAGCACATTAAACTTATCAAAACCAAATGATGGTTATACTGACTTGTCCAGTTCGTTTTGTCCCGCAATACTCTGCATTGAAGAGGAATTTTTTAACAACTTTTTGCATTTGGCCACCCACTTTTTTACGCAAATTAGATTTTCCAATTTTTTTTTATATATATCTAAATGATGGTTAGGCTATTTTGACTTATCCGGACAGTTATTAATTTATAATTTATCTAGCAGGACAAGATTAAATTCATTTTTAATAAGATTTTAAGTAAAATATTAGGTTAATGAGAGCATTCGTCTCTTTTTTTTTCTTTTCTTTTTTTATTAATCTTGTTCTTCTATTCTTTTTCTTCTTAACTTTATCTTTTTATATTTTTGTTTTTATCTTAAGTTCATCTTTTTGTTAAATTTTTTAGCTAACAACCTTAAATTGCACCATTAATCTTACAAAATTGTGACACATGTATATTTTTTTAATTTTTAAATAAATGATTTTTGAAAGATTAAAGAAAAAAAAATCATTTAAATAGTTTTAAACCTCTCCAAATCGCACCCAACTCAACTTTAGTTTAGCCTTGATTTCTTTCTCTTGACCTTCACCCTCTTTATTTTCAACCATTTCTTTTTCTTTGGTCTGTTTTTTTCTTCTATTCTCTATTTTATCACACTTTCAATTGATCGATTGATCGACATTTAGTCTCTCTCTTCTTGGCCCTTTCTTCTCTTCTCTCTTATTAGCTCTATGAAATTCAAAGAAAGCCAAATGCCATTGAAAGAAAAAAAGAAAAAGGAAAAAAGAAGAAGGAAAGATTCTTACCTCCAATCAAGTTTAGTAATCTATTTTTTTTTTAATTAACTCTCTTTTGGCTTTTTAATTTTTTTATATACGTGGTCCCTCCTTATTGTTGATTTGTTTGTATTTTTTTTTATTATTTTGTACGTCATTGTCTTCTGTTTGCTACACGGATAGATTAGTCAAGGCTTCATGTTAGAGGAAAATCACGGAAGATGTTTAGAAATGTATGGTTAGTTGTGATATATGAAGAGGGTATTGTGGTTGATATTAATTTTGAGGAAAATGATTTATATTATTTTGATTTATTAGAAATTTCCAAGAAACATGGTTATAGGAGCATAATATTTGTGTATTATAAAGATTCAAACGTTGGTCATAATTTAACAAGATGTTTTAGGTTAATATATGATGACAGAGCTATATGTCACATGATTGATTTGGTAAGGAATAAGGAATTTGTTGATGTTTATTATGAGTATAGTGACAAAAAACATTCATACTTTTAATGTGAACAATCCAAAGGTTGTTTGTGAGAGGTTTGGTATTGATGATCATGGTAAGATATTTGATAAGGGTGCAACTCTTACTAGTGGAAGTTCAAATTATATTGGGGTTAAAAAAAAGATGGTGTTGCTTATTATGGGGGTGAAAATATTGAGAGAGTAATCGACAAGGATAATTAGAATAATGAGGGAGCTAATTAGAAAATAAAGGGGCACTATTATCATAAGAAAGATGAAGATAATTATCATAACCCAAAATTTTCTCATTTTTTTCCCTTGTTATTTTTTTCTTTTTTTATTTCATTTGAATTTATTTTGGAGTTTGCTATAAAAAACTGAAAAATGATAAAATGATAAAAATACAAAAAAGAGAATATATATATATATATATATATATATATAATACCAAAAAAATTATTGAATCACATCTAGGAACACAATCACATCAAATGAAGGTGTAATTGAAGTAATTAGTGATACAATTAAATCAATTCAAATATTTAGAACTTAAATTACACTTTATAAGGATCCGATTGATAAAATCGCACTTCACAAAGATTAAAATTCCACGTAAAAAGGCACGATTGTGGACAATTGAAATTTATAAGGACCAAATTAAAACTTTAGATAGAACAACAAGATTAAAATCAAGCGAGACAACTTGCCGTCCACTCCAATCCAAAAATTTCTCTAGGGATTATTCATCAATCTTTCGCAAGAGACAAATTTTCCCCCGATTACGTTTTTCCGAATTACATTCACTATGATTCTTAGTTAGAATTGATACCGACCAATAATCATGCCTCACTACCATTTGGTTTCCTTATCTTAACTAATCAAATACTAAATTTGAGATTTACCACTTGAAATATAGGATTGATTGGATTGATCTTGGGGACATAAATAAGTAAATTCTTGCCTACAAAAGGTTTGTTTTAGCTAGGAAGAGGGGGAGAAAGAAAAGGGGTTTGAATTCTAGGTTAGCAAAAGGGTGAAAATAAAAAAAAGAATTAGAAATTTTGATTTTGGACACCGGCATTTTTTTTTGCAAAATTCTAGGCCGTGTTCTTCAATTCTAGGCATGTGTTCTTCACCTAGGGGTTCTTAAATTGGGTTTTTCTTGCATTTTCTAGGTTTAGATTTGAATTTTATGGGTTCCTCAACTATTTTTCACATTTTATGGTTTTAATTTAAGGTTTCTTAATTTTCCTTCAAAAATTTTCCGGACAACCATTTCGTTTTCTTCAAAATTCTAGGTTTCGTTTATATTTTTTGGGTTTGTTTTTAACTTTTGTCTCACTCGTTGGACCTTAATTCTTCATTTCGAACCTTATCCAATTGTTCAAAACAAATCGAAGGTTCCCTAAATCCTCTCAAAATCATCACGAGGTTCAATTTTTATCTATCTCATCTTTTGAACAACGATCCTCAATTTCAATAATTCGATCGGTGCTCTTAATTTTTTTTAATTTCGATTCAATTATTTGTTGTTCTAAATCCTTTTTAGTTATTTGTTTAAGCTCGTAGGTTATGATTTTGATTGAGATAAGGGTATGAGTATGGAATAGGTAGTTAAGTCATTTAATTGGATTGGAATGTTAATTCCTAAAAAAATTAAGCATAGAAAAAGAGAGAAAGGGGTCAAAAACTAGTTTTTGTTCTAAAACTAAAAAGAAAAACACTTGGGCTTTGTTTATGGACTTGGTCTAGCCCCTATTAAAAAAGAGAGTGGATTGGACCAAGCCTAATTTACATGGAACTAAGTAGGGTCGGCCTCGACGATAGCCTAGTCCTCCAGGTGAGGAAGAGAAGGGGAAATGCCCACCTAGCGAGCCAGCCCAATAGGCATGCCCAGTAGGCCAACTTAACGATCCACGCCCAATGGATCGAGGGCCCACTAGCTAATAAAAAAAAAGCATAGGGCCTTAGTTTTGTTTTGTGTAGATTAATTTTGAAATTTATTTTATACATGCTTTTTTATTTTATGTTTAATTTAAATTTAATATTTGAATTTCCTTTAATTATGTAATTGATACAATTTTGAATTTTATTTCAATGATTAGAATAAGTGATTAATAGGTAGATAAATTATTAAGTCTTCTAAATTTAGGGACCGATGGCGATTCTCCATCGATAAAAAAAACAACAAAAAATAAAAATGATAAAAAGGAAGAATAATAGTTAATTTTAATTTTAGTATTTTATGTTAAAATTAGTTTAGTAGTTAAAAGGTGGGTAATTATCAAGTTTTCTAATTTTTAGGGATTGATGACGATTTCTCATCAAACTGTTAATAATTAGATTAATAGTTAATAGATGGATGAATTGTTGAGTCTCTTAATTCTTAAGGACTAATGATGATTAATTCTTAGGGACTAATGATGATCTCGCATTGATAAAATTAATTAAAATTTTTAACAAAGTCTCATATTTGATAGGGACTATCATTAATAAAAAAATAAGAAAACAAAAAATAATTAATAACAAATTTCCTAACGAAGTCTCCTATCCGATGAGGACTATTGTTAGTTTAAAAAAAATATCATCAACATTCAAACAATCGGGATGTTCTCTAACACATCGATTTTGTAGAAACTTGAAGTTGATCCGATGTTTGAACCAATGTGTCATATGATGAAGGGGGTCTATGATCGCTTCAATACGATGTCACACCTAAACATAAAAAACTTAATTTAACTTGAAAATTAGAGTTCAATTCGAAAATAAGTTAACATAAAATAAAATAATTTAAGAGATGAATTTAGGAATAAATTAGGCATAGTACATTTCTTAAGAAATGAGATCGCATAACGACAATAATGTTGCTAAGAATCAAAAAGACAATGAAAAAGATACTTTTGATTTTGGTTGGTTAAGTAACAATAACAATAAAGACGTAAAACGAGCAATGAGAATTGTTAAAAGTATAACAGGTGAATCTATAAATATCATGGAATTAGTAGAGGATAATGATGCTGAAAATTTAAAGGAGAATGTTGAATTCAAGGATGAAGATTACAAGTGAACTTGTATGTATTTTATGCATAATGGGACATCAAGCTAGATGATGAAGAATAATGAGCCACACCACACACACGATGTTAGCTTCACAAGCGGATGTGTTACTTATAAAATATTAGTTGAAAAGTTTACCAATAATATAGAGATTAGGTTTAGAGATGGAATTAAGAGAAATGGTAGCTTAAACTCATACAGATTTTAGATTGAAAATCTCACTAACTCAACTACTTTTACTAGGAATAGGATAACAAGTTATTGTTTGGAGACATAGAGTTGGAATTTTTAAAACTTGAAAATTATGTTAGAACTTAAACAGAGTAATAAAGATAACATTGTTATTATGGAATGTAAACTAGGTACCTATGAGTTAAAAAGAAAGATCATTAGTGTTGATAGATGCTTTCTAAAATCTTAATTAAAAAGGGAGTTCCTAATTGTAATGGAGTGAGATGCCAACAATTAAATTTTTCTTTATATTAGGTTGTCATGTAGAAGAATTATAAAACTTAATAATGGTTCTTACTACTTCCAATGGATGATCTTTATATCTAATTTTTAGGCTTTATTTTAAAATTAATAGAATTTTCTAAATTTTAATTTCAAATTTTATGCTGAAACTTGCAATCTAATTTTGGATAGTTGAGTGTTGATTTTGAGCCTAAGCTTTTCAAGAAATTTGTAAGACCGGATGTCTACTTTCTCTAGACTTTTGAATCACCTCAATCTATTGTCTAGAATGAAAGATATGGCCTAAATACTAATCAATATTTGAGTTACAATGAGATTCAATTTCCTAACCCGATTTTGGGACGGACTTTGAAAACCCAAAACAACTTGAGCCGTTTAAAGCTAACTTTTAAATATGAGTGTTCATTTGGTTATTTGATTTGATTTCAAAATACTTTGAATGTTTTTGGTTAATCAAATTTTCATTCAAAAAAAAAAAAAGAAACCAAACCGAAATGTTATTCGATTTTTTGATTTCGTTTTGAAATATTTCGATTTTGATGTTCGGTAATTCAGTTTTTACCTATTTTATTTTATTTTATTCTAAAAAAAGATAAAAATTTCTAAAATGGAGTGAATTAAGAAAATACTTACGTTTTGACATTTTTTATTTTTGAAAAAATCGACAAAAAAATAGGGCTAAAATTAGATGCTAATACTTTCAAAATCTTTTTTTTTCCGTTACAATGATCACGTACACGCACACAAACTCTCTCTCTCTCTCTCTCTCTTTTGTTTTCTCGTCAAAAAAGAAAAGAAAAGAAAAGCCCCTTTCTTTCTTTTGTTAAGGTCTCTTTTATAAACTCTTGAAAATAACCTAGAACCCTACTCTCCCGGTTAAATCTTGGTCCTTGATTTCTCTCTTCCAAGCTCAATTGTCCAACTTTCCCATTTAACTCGTCACCATCCTTGTGTCCAGAAAAATTTTAGGTTGTCATGGCAGCCTCTTTATTTGGTTATGTGCGAGTGCTCGCTTACCTACATTTCAAGCATCCTTCATAGGGAAAAAGAGGTGTGTGTTTTGGTTATCACTCGGTGGTGAGGGAACGCATGAGAGAGAGAAAAATTGGATGTTCATTTTCTTTTCTCGATGCTCTATTTTTTCCTTTTGAACCGAAAATTTGTAGGGGAGAGAAGAGAAATGAGAGAAACAATGTTATGCAAAGATAGGGTTTAAGTTGGTCATTCTACTTTAGAACTTTTTTTGTAATTTAGTCCTCACACTCTCTAATTTTTCTTAATCAATCCCTTCAATCCGTAACACTTTAATCCTTTTTTTCTAATGTCATCGATCGGGTCCCTAATTGTTCCTAATTGCTTCTCCAATATTTTTCTATTCACATATTAACCGATAATACTTTCATATTATTTTTCAATTAAACATCTTAATTATTAATCCAATTTAAATTCCATTTTTTTGTTTATTATTTTTTCTTTTCTAATTTTCTAATTTCTTATATATATATATATATATATATATATATATATATATATATATATCAACAATAATAAATGAAGAATTAAAATAAATTAGAAAATAAATAAAGCCAATCTTAATAAATTTTCAAAATTTATGAAAAATCTACATTATGCAATGAAAAAAAATTATAAAAATACCACAAAAATAATTATCCACAAATAAACATGTCACATGCCAGCTCTCTCTCTCTCTCTCTCTCTCTCTCTCTCTAATTCTTTGTAAAAATATACATTATCTAATTTACTATATATGATGTAAACTTTTTATCATAGGATATTGCTAAATTCACCAACCAAATTGTTATTCTTATCATTTAGAAAAAAATATTACTAATATATTCTCTCGTCAATATTTGTTATACAATAGTTATTGATAATTGATAAAAAAAAAAAGTATATTGATGATTATCTAAAAAAATGACGAAAATAACAATTTAATTGATGAATTTAGTAATAATTAATTATAATGTTATCCATCACATCTCATACACTTTTTAGAATAGAGTTGAAAACATTCTAATTATGATTTTTTTTCAGTTGTAAATCTTAATTTCTTAATAATTAAAAACCAAAGAATGATCGATTTATGACGGTAACATATTCTCATTGTCACCAATCCAAACCGCAATTGGCATAATTGTACTAAAGAAGCAACCCAAGTGCCTTAACCTACTCCCTATACCGAAGTCTTCTAGCAAAACCTTTGCACCAACTCCCACGGAGGATTGCTAATGAAAGTTTGGCATTACTTGCATTAATCCAATCAAGTAAATTAAAGTCAAATCTGTCCAACTAAATTCAAAACTAAGTCTCTCTCAAAAATTAAAAAAATAATACTTTAAAAAGATTAAAATAAGGCGAGCAAGTCCACCTCCATCCTTCTCTCGACATCCACGTCATCATTACTCTCCCCAATTCGATCACTCTCACTCATACATCCAAGAAATTAAACACCATAATGACCAAACCTCCTCTCCTACACCTTTATCCACTCTTAGCACTCGGCTACCTATAATCCTAAGTCCTCCTAACCCCTCCCTCTCTCTTCACCCCCAAATACTCACCGACTAAATCCGTAAAAACTTAGCCACAAAATAACATAAATTATAAAATCTAATGTACCACTCCTCATGTTACTCGTTGTTATCGTTCCTAGTTGTTAGCTATGAATGCTCTAAACAATCTAGGAATAGCATTCACGAGTTGTCTTTTTGGTTTGTCTTGCAGCCTCTATTATTCGAGATCCTCTACATTCTCTCGGCGCCGTAGAAGATTCAGCCAACGGAGTGTTACAAGCTCCTCCGCCGACGAAGAATTCAGTAGTGGTTGCGATTCGGCCTACATGACGCCATCTAAAGAACTTTGCTACTTCTTCTACCGCAAAAACCAAACGACTCGAGTCGAACTCGACCGGACATCAAACCCGGCGACGTCCACGGTGGCTTCGTCGGCTTCTACGGATGGCATAGATGCATTGGTGGAGGAGATGTTGAAGTTGCAAGGGATGTATGGACCATCGAGAGTTTTGTTTACTATTAAGGAAGAGGATAGGGAGGAGATGGAGGTAATCGAAAACGACAAGTTGTCGATAGAGAACGAGCTTGCTAAAAGTAAGAATAGAAAAATGAGCAACGAATGATGTTTGTTTTGAAGAGGTAGCCGTTGGTAATGATGTGGTTGTCGATGTTGAGTTTGATGGTGTAACGACACCGTTTTGGACACCGTGTGCGTCTCCTTAGTATTATTATACTCCTTCACCTTCTCCTTTTCGTGATGGAAATCGACCACGCAAGAATTCAAGGACTCGAAAATGAAGATAGTGTCGTTTTAGGTGATTCCGGTGAGAATATGATGTCGATTGTTAGCATAGAAATTCACGGTTAGTATTTTGAACCACAAAAAAAAGGACGAAATGCTATCGACCGGTTGTCGAAGTAACTAATATAGAATAGTTTTTGTCCGTATCCCGTTACAACGACTCTTTTTTATTTATGTGTATTTATTCTTAAGGTCTAGCAAATGTTTCGATCTTGCCACGTTAGCGTAAAGCAAATGAAATAGGAAGGCAATATAACGTGGCAAGATCAAATAGGGTGCTAGACACAATGCTAATGTTACCGCACTTTCTACTTGATGGCGAGGTGAAGGAGGTAGAGATGTTGGTGAATTTAGTGCTCATTTAATTTTTGTGGTACTAAATGGGCTGTAAAGCAAAAGATGGGAAGTAAATTTTGAGGATCGTTGGCGTAAGAAAAGAAAGTGGTAGAGTGTAATTAATTGAGATATAATATGTTTGAAAGACATAATCAATTACAGTTGGATTGGTTTTTATTAGACCCTAGTTAAAATCTTCAAAGGCTTTATAATTGTCTATAAAAAAGATTAATTGATAAAAGAATGTTACTTTATTATCTAGCGGACTAAATGCTAGTGCCAGTTACAAACCAGCCCGCGGCCGTAAGAGAAATGTCTTCGAAGCTCAAACGCGAAAGACCTTTCGCTTCCGCTATAAAATTATAAAAGTGCAAACATAGATTAGAAAGTGCATGATATGAATAATGGTAAAACGACAATTCTTAGAAAAGTTGGAATATATACGACAAGTGAAATGTACATCATTTTTTAGATATTCTATATGACAATCTTAGGAAAATAATATAACACCTGAAAGTATTAAGCGGCACGAAAACAACGATACATAAGCAATTGAAATGTAAGAATGTATCAACTATATAATCAACAAGAAACCAAGTTATTTATTTATTATTATTATTATTGAGAAACATGATACTCTTGTTTAGTCTGTCATTATAAATTAATTTTGAGACAAAAAATTAAATCATCAAGCTAATTGATATCACCAACGTCGAATGATCAACGATGCATTTTTTTTTTCGAATTTTATTATTGTTACCTATTTTCCCTTTTAACTATATATTTTAGGATAAAATAGATTTAAATCTACAAACAAAATTTCAAGTTTCTTACAAAACTATATCTAATTAAATAGTCATTATATAAAAATAAATTAATTAAACAAGTGTATATATCATTTGATTAAACAAGTATATAAATTATCTAATTAAATATTGCTAAAACTAAATTAAAAATGATTAATTATGCCTCTATCCGAATTAGATATATGAGTTTTGACTTGAAAGAATAAAAATACTACTAAATATAGTTTGTCAAAAAGAAAACCTCAAAATATACCATGATGGTTTGTCTCACATATTCTTAAGCACCCCCTCATACCCTCAATTATTAAAACACGGATTCGATTTTTTTTTTATTTTATTATTACTGCCATTATCATTATCATTTTGCATTTGTGAGCATAAAGGTCATATCAAACATGTAACTACACAAGACATGGATCCAATAGAGATACACAGCAAGATTGGAGTATACATGCTTTCCAAGTCTCCAATAAATTTCCAGGCCTCTGGCTCAAATTAAGATCGTATGACTGTGAAAATTGGGCTGCCCAACTTTTTGCTGAAGGATTGTGATCAATCCTTAGCCATGATTGTGGGCCCTTTTTTAAGTACTTGTGGGCCTAAAACTGATGGTAGACGAATAGGCCCAATTAAGTAAAGGTTCACTAAAGCGCCATAGGAAGCATTTCCTTGAAAGAAGTATATTCTAAAAAGCCCAGTCCCAGCAGTCGCTTCGATAATCTAATGAAAAGGACTCAGTCCTCTCCCTCCAGAATCCAGATTCAGTGCTTCAGACGCTCTTATTTGACTTATTTTACTCGCAGAAGGATTCTGATCAATTTCTTAGCCATGATTATAGGCCCTTTGTTTTTTTTTTTGGGTTTAGTGGGCCTTAAACTGATGATGTGCCCCGCTCTAAATTGGCTTCGACAATGACTAAATGAAACAGCAGCTGGCATAGGTCCAGTGCTACGTACCTTGCCAAAATAGTCTATATCAATAGATAATAGCCACTTGTCCATGGCCCCTCTCTTAATTATTATGGAGGGAGGGAGAACAGATGATTCTAGTGTTTTTTTGCACGACATTATTCTATTGATCAAATAAAATAAATGAAATTATTTTTAAAAATTATTTTAATTTAATAGTTCATGTTATATTATACATATATCAAAATATATCAAATTAGAACTGAATAAAAAATTATTTAATTTTTTATTCAAAATTTTGGATTTGATTAATTATTATTTATATTTTTCATAAATTTTCAAAATATTATTTATTTATCTCTATCCACAAACTAATTAAAAAATTTATAACAATATAAAAAATATCAAAATCAATGGCTTTTTAGCTAAAAACTTATTTTGAAAATTATTTTTTACTTTAAAATTTTTAATTAAAAATAACAAAGAAAAAAAGAAGGAATAAAGTGATCAAAATAAAACAAAAAAGAGAGATAAACAAGAAAAAAATATTTATAAACTAAAAAACTAATATTTAAAAAAAATAATTAAAGTGTAATGTTATGAAAACTTTCATGATAAATGTCAATAAAATATTTGAAAACTACAAAAATATCACTCTACAATAAAATAAATAATGCATCTGAGTCTTGGTAAATAGTTGGAATGAATTTAGATAAACAATATGTTAAATAGTACATTGAATAGTAATCCATCATTTTACTTTAGTTTTTTTTTATAATTTTAATTTTTGACTAGCTATAGTTCGATGATGTTGAGCTTAATTTGCAGCTAGATTTGAAAGGTGTCTGCATCACGAGGGCTCGAGCTAATTTTACAGTCAATCTCAGTTACCATAATAAATATGTGAGAAAATGTTCTATATTAATATGTAGAAGAGTAGGCATGCTGATTCTACACCATTGCTATAACAAGTCTATAAGCAGCAGCGCTTTGCTAGTTTTCTTTGTTGAATACTTCAACAGTTATTTTCCCTTGTCGTTTCTTTTGTGAAATGTTGCAGAATCCATGCATAATGGCCACTTGAGATTCACATTTTTCTTTACAATCGCCTATAAGTTGATTTGTTAAAAGCTGAGAGTTCGTTTCTTTATTAGTATTTCCAACCGATACATAAAACATTGACTTTTGCAGTATTCGGATTTTGATTTTAATAATTGGTAAGATGGTGTTGCAAAGTCCCCATGTTCCACGTATTGTCCGCTACAACATCAATTTCTAATTATCATCATGCACCAAAAGCCAAGGGGGAAGAGAAAAAAGAAAGAGAGAGAGAAATAATAAATCAATTATTTATTATGTACATCAGCATAAGATACCGTAACTCAATGAAAAAAGACACAGAGAGAAATAGTAAATCAATTATTTATTATATACATCGGCATAAGATAACGTAACTCAATGAAAAAAGTAATCAAATCCAATATGGTCTCTGACTATGAACATAAAAGCATCGTACGTAAGGGTAAGAAGAAAAACCAAATAATAGTATTAATATCAAACAAAATCAATCAAAGACTGCATCAACATGTTGACCATCAGAACTTGATCTTGCACTTGTTATTATTCCCAGCAACATAATCTCCGTTCAAAGGAATCATCAAGTCATCACACTCAACCTTGGGCTTGAACCTTGCAGTCTTGACCTTACCAAGCTTAAATCTAATCCTCAAAGACAACTCCAAGGTAATACCATAACGCCCACTTTTTGTTTCTTGATTAAACCGTGTCAACTCTTCACCTTGAAGGGTAACCAATTGTTGCCCTTTAAGAACTACATTCAAGGCGCTGGTGTTCTTATGTCCTTGATAGAACGGAGTCAAGGCCTGATAACCAAACCTCTGGTCCTCATAAAATGCCCTGGCCTGTATCCTATCATAGTAAATTCCAATCTTCTTGTTGGGGTTGCGGATAGTGACGTTAGCAGCAAGGTCGTATTGGAGCATATTGTTGGTGTAGTTGAACTGAGTTAAAGCAACGTCTGTGACATGGAATTTGACCTTGTTAATGGGGCGGAATATGAGCCAGACAATAAGGATGAAAAGACCAATAAGCACGGCCACGGTGATGATCACTTTGAGGAGGAGGGTAATGAGACAACAGCAGCCACAGTCAGAGCCACGGCCAGGGCGGTGATAGTGCTGTGGAGGTGGGATTGATGGACCATAATAGGCCCCATTTAAATGACCTTGTTTCTCTGCCATGTGAAATCTTTTGATCGATGAGAAGGCGGACAGAGAGTAGACAGATGTGCTGCAAGAGATAAAATGATTTGGTCTGTTTATGTGTGTGGCTGTGTATATATAGGAAGGGGAATTGTAGGAAGATGATTAGTTGGGTACGTGTGAATTTGTTTTAGCATCGTGAGGGCACACGGAGGTTGGGGATTTTGGCCGAGTCAATTGACGCGGTTGCTTTGAGTGGTTGGTTTGTTCTTTCAGGCAGTGTCTAAGTTCAGGTATATTTTATGTGGGCGGAGACCTTTTAGATGGTACCTGGTAATTTCTAATGGGTAAATTTGGTAGAGTACATTGGGGTTTGATTATGATAGATTGTGCTTGGAAACTCTGAGCTTCTTGACTAACGCGCATATGGTTTCATTTTCAAACTTTTTTATTATTATTATTTAGAAATACATTAATTTTATTAATATTAAATTAAAAAAATATTTTTTTTTCCTTAACATTAATTACACACACCGAGAAGAGCCGAAACTAGAGTTTAGGAGAAAGAGACAGAGGAGAAAGAGTACATGGACGTCAGATGGTATCCCTTTCAAACTTGAACAAGGATGTTTCAACGTAACCAGTAGACTTTTCTTAATATAAGTAAGCTAGCAAAGCATAAAATATCTAGAATGCTTCTAATTTGTGACTACTATATATCAATTATCAAATTCCTAAATTAGCCTATGGTTTTTGAACAAAGCATACTGTTTGATCAAAAACGCAAAGCGTACCGTTTCCAGACATCTGCGTTGACATAGGCTTGTGCTAACACAGAGTCAATACTTAAATGGTTTGATGTAGTTTAAATAAATCCACATGATTTATAGTGGAAATTAGTTTTTTTACCGTACTAAACTGTGGATCGAACAAAATACATAAAATTATTTTTAAAAAATTATTTTATTTTGATGTCCCGTGTTATATTATCCATCTATCAAAATATATCAAATCAAAATTGAATAAAAATTTATTTAATTTTATTATTTTTTAAATAAAATTTTGTATTTGACTAATTATTTTTTATAATTTTGTTATAAAAAATTATTTATTTATCTCTATCCACATTTTTAACTAAAACCTTATTTTGTAAATTATTTTTTTCTAAACATCTTTTTACCTTAAAATTTTTAATTGAAAAATCTGGAAAAAAAAAGGGCCAAAGTAACTAAAATAAAACAAACAATGCGATCAAAATCAAATAAAAAAAATTTCAAACTAAAAAAATAATATTTAAAAAAGATGGACTAAAGTGTAATATTACGAAAACTTTCATAATAAATATTCTAAAAATATTAGAAAACAACCGCTGTATAGTGAAAGGAATAATGTATCCGAATCCGGATGAATACCGTCAATGAGTTTGAGTGATCGTATTTGAAATAATGCAAATGAATAATAACTAAAAGTTTTGATTTAATTTTTTATAATATTTAATTGAATGGTTTGAATACATTGATAATTAATTACCTTATCAAGATAAGAAAATGGACCAATAACCAAGCGGGCACGGCTCCAGATCTAAGAGCTTTGTATCAATTGAGATCGAAGCACTTAGAACTTGTTCATACTGTAACAAAAACGTATTCATTTATTGGACCGGCCTACGGTAATATATATATATGTATTTAAAGAGTTTTTTGTGTTTTGTTGCTATGTTTACCGAGTTAGGATTCATAATATCAAAATCACACAAAATTGATGGTCCATCCTAGTTTTAGTTCAAATACAATTTGAATTTCAGTTTTTACCAATTCATAAACATGTCAAAATATGTAATTAATGTTGAATTTATCATGTGATGAAGCCATTCGTTGCTTAATATTATGCCCAATTTAGATTATGCAGTCAATGATCTTGATTCTGGTGTATCTTTACAAATTAAGCTTGGTTAATGATTGTAGGAGTCTTTTTACTCTTAAAACAAATACTGGGAGAAGAAAAAAATAAATTAAGAAAAATAGAAAAGAAAATAAAAGAAAGAGGGATCATAAAGAAAAAATTGGCGTAGAATTGAAAAGAATAAAAAAGAAAGAGGGTTGATGAAGAAGAAATCAGGACAAAATTGAAAAGAAAGAAGGAGAGAAAAAATAAAAACAAGACAAGAAATTGAAAATAAATTAAAATTAAGGGGTATAATTAAATATAATTAAAAATAACGGGGATTAAATAAAATTTCATTCACCAATTGAGGAGTGTAATTGAAAAAAATAATAAAGTATAAGGACTTAAATAAAATATCATGACGTTTGGAGGATCAAATTAAATGTCTGTTATGAAACGACGTTGTTTTATGAGTTGAAAAAAAAAAAAAAAACAGCTTGTTGTTTTATGCGGGACAATATTCCTTCAACTCCTTAAACTGTGCATTTTTTTTTCTTTTTTAGCTTTTTTCGAGATCTTTTCTTCATTATTTTGGCTTGATTTCCTCTTCTAATACAAGTTCATTTATTTGCCTCTTTTTCCTCTATATCCAGAATCAGTTTTGGCAACAAAAAAAAAAAGAAAAAAAGATAAAAGAAAAAGAAAGAAAGCTTATGATCTCTAAAAATCACCACAATCATAGCTTGAATATCGAACCATGACAATCCTCTTCAAGTTTAGAAATAATCTGAAATAGCTTGGGAGGAGGTTGAAAATCATTTTAAAAATTATACTATTAAACCCTTCTTCGTACCCTACAAATAAAGTAAAAAATCAACCAAAAAAAACGCAACAATCAGCGAAGAAAACGCAGAAAAAGAGGCAGAAAGCTTGGACACAGTTTAATTTGGCAGCTTGATGAGATCACTTTGGGCCGCTTTTCACATCGATTCCCCAATCAATTTTTCTATTCAGTTGCTGTTTGTAGAAGGTATACCCCTCTTCATTTCTTCTTCTTTAAATTTATTGAGTTAATGCCTTTTCCTCCATGATTTTTTGGCATAAAAACATGTCTATGAAAGGGTAAAAATTTGCAGAAAAACTGGAAATTCATTTCTATATGAACAGTTCCATATTAAAATTTTTGCCTGGTTGTTTTATTTTAGTCCTCAGGTTTCTTTGTTCATATTATTTTAATATTTAAACAAAAAATAAAATTTTAATTAAGTTCCCATTCATCATAATAAGTGTCAAATTGAATAAAAAATATATTTTTAGCGTTCACACACACACAAACACACACACACACACACACATATATATATATATATATATTGTAATAAGTTTAAAACTAATAGTGTCTTTAAAATAGGGACTGTTCTGTTCATTTATGATTTGGAAAAGATTCTGACATGATTTCAACCTGACTTTTTTTAATTTGTTAAAGATACAGCCTTTAAATCATGTTTCAAATTTCATAGTTTTCTAAAATCATTTGGTTACTCATCTGAATTTTCTCTGGTTCGTGCTACATAGTTGACATTTATATCAGGATAAATTTGATTTATGAGTTTTATCCTTTAATTAGAGTTTATATTTATATCTTTAAGATATAGGGTGATATTGATCTATCAAATATAGTTTAAGGTTAATATTCTAAAATATTTTTATCATCATTGTAATTGATGAAATTATTTTTTTAATTGTTATTCTTATTTATTTTAAAAAGTAGATGTTAAAAATTTTAAACTAAGAGTTCCAATCTAGGATATAATGTTGGTGGACTCTTTTAATTAATGATTTGTTATATTTTATAAAGAGTTTTAATCCTTACATTAAAACCTTATGTATTTTTAAAAAGAAAAATGATTGATAAATTAAAAGTTATGAATGATGGATCTCTCATAATAAGAATCCAAGTCAGGAGGTGTATTTATATGAGAATTTCACATAAAAAATTTGGTTGTATGCAATCCTTCTAGTTTTAAGTGTTCCCTCGCAGAAAAAGCTCGAGTTTTTAGGAGATAACAACATAGTAATAGCAGTTGTCTGTAATGTATTATTCCATTTTCAGCCCTAACAATATGGTTCAAATTATGTTCTTGTTTCAAATAAATTTGTAAAACGGTTAAGGGTAATAGTGAAAGTTTGTTATTTATTAACTTTGACTTTCAAAGGACCAAATAAAATAGACATTAAAAAAAAGAAAGTAGAAAATTTTTATAAATGAGACTCCCGGCGGAGCATTAAAGTAGATCGCAAATTAGACCTCATTCCATTCATCCTAATTTGGGCTCTCGTTTTGGTCAACAAGCCCAACCCTTTGTCAACCTAAACGCAGCTAAATATTCCAAGGCAGGCGAAGAACGTTATCCTTTCTAGGCGAAGAACATCACAATCTAGATCTAATACTTCCAATCCCAATGTGACCTGAAAAGCCAAAAAGCCCCTGCCGACCATTCTCGGCTAGAGTTGAGTTCCTGCTAGGATCGATATTGATCAACTCAAGATTTTACTCCACATTATTGCTACCGATGGAGATATGTGATCACACCGTAACAACATATTCCTGGCCTTTGCAGAAAAAAATAACTGGTTAATTTTGGGAATAAGTATTCTCAACTTTTTTTTGATAAACTTTTAAGCAGTTATTTTTTTCGTACAACTTTTAGAATTTATCTCGATTTTGATGTTGCTATAGTGGCTTTTTTAGTTGATAATATTAAGATTAATAACAAATTAGTATATGATAAAATCAAATTAACTATACTAATATTACTATTAAACGCAAACTCCTTTAATAAAGATACTTATTAGTAATTATTTTATCTATTTCGAATCTATTTAATAAAACTTATATATATGATGAATGTAGGCTCCCTATTTTCTTTATAAATTTTATTTAATATACAATTTGGTGCGATTTTTTTGTTGTAGAATATGTATATAAGTTTAGGCATATACATATCTTTTTTTTCCTTTGTAATTTTTTTAAGTGATTTTTTTTTTTTTTGAGAATTCAAATATGCTCATTTTTAATTAAAAGTAGCATGCAATTTATTTTTTTCTTTTTAATTATATGTAACGTTGTCGGTGGGTTGTGAATTAAATTTCTATATTTAAATAAATAAAACTATCATATATTAATAATAAACTACAATAACACATGGGTGATCGATTAGTTAATAGATAGAATCAATGATACAAACAATTAAGCTTGTTTTGGGTGGACTAAGTTGTGATTAATGAGAAATTATTATACAGATCTAGTCCACCTCCTAAAATTATGAACTGAACCAGTAGAAATTTTATACATTACTAAATATGTCCGCATCGTTTTACCATGAATGCATTATTGATTATTTTATTTTATAATAATAAACATGCTATTACATATAAAAAGATTAGTTTTCTAATTTTGATTTATTAAAATAAATAATTTAGAAAAAAATCAATTATTTATCATAATTATATTGGTTTAATCCCTGATCTTAGATAGTAACCGGATCCTTATGATAACTTACGGAAAAGAAAGAAAGATAAAGGCCATTGATTTGATTTGAGAATTGACAAATAAAAGTCCCTTTCCATCACGCATTATTAATTAGTAGGTAGAAGCTGGTGATGGCTGAAAAGGACCACCACTAAAGCCATGTGAGACATGCACCGACCCCAAAACCCATCCACGCTCTCATTCCCTTTCTTTAAAACTCCACATTGCCCCTATTGTCTAGTATACTGTACAAGTACTCTCTTTCTAAGCATACATTAGGGACAGACTAAAATTCTCTTTCCTGCGAGGCCAATATATACATATTCACACCAGAACTTTTATGCGTGCCACTCCCTAGATGAATGGTATTGTGGTGTATTTTATTCAGCTGATTTTGGTTGGTCAAGATTCTTATTGGCTGCTGGCTATTCTGATAATCTAACGGCCTTAATATACATATTCCTAATCTCCTAGTATGGTTCTACAAATGATCGAATTTTGTCATTTTCTGAATGTCCTCACACGATGAGTTCCACTATAAGTAAGACAATCTACTTAATTATGTATTATTGGATAAAACAAAACAAAAACCAATCGTAAAAGTTTTTTGTTTCTATTCTGAGAAATAGACAGGTAAATGATTTTGGAAGATTAAAAAAAAAGGAAATAATTTTGGGCCTTTCCTTCCGTCAGGATGAACAGAGTTGATGTACCCATCTCCACTTGACCCAATCTCATGCCAAACTAGACTTCATGTAAAAATACAAACTCGGAGTCACAAGTACATTCACTTTCTCAAATTAATGCAACAGTGTCGTCACAACACTATGGCTTGGTGGCTTCTACTCCTACAATAGCTACTACTATTGCGTAAGAGTGAAACAAAATTAAGAAGAATCACTTGCATCTCAAATTTTGGATCAAAGGTATCTCTAAAGCAAATGACGAGAATTAGAAAAAGGGAAGATAGAAGAATCACTAACGGTTGACGAAATATACCCTTTTCATAATTTTAAGGATCCAAGAAATTGACTAAGGAAAAAAAAAGTGAACAACAGCCAAGTAGCAATAAAAAAATTGCGTTAAAAAAAAAAACGATCGACAATGACTCGACAACCCCCACCAGGCACTCAATTGTTATCTCTACATCAAAGAAGAATTATTGATCCCACGTTTTAATAACTAACTTCAAAAAAAAAAAAAGAAGAAGAAGAAGAAGAAAAACGAAATATATATATATATATATATATATATATATATATATATATATATATGAAATCATACGATTTCCATACACAGAATTTGTAACTTTGCTTTCTGTCTTATTTGATGATTTTTCTTCAATTACTCACTTATTTTAGCAAAATGTACACTTTCAATTTCGAAGTCTTTCATATGGATCCAACGTGTATATATATAATCTAAACAACAGAGACAGCCCATCATCAATTCCATAATAATTAACACATAAAATAAAACTACAATATCAAAGACCCAAAACAAAGAAAATAATTACTTAACGGCGTTATAACTTGTTACCATCTTCTTCTATCGTCTCTTATCATCTCTCCTCCCATCTTCAAAGGCTCACACTGCAACTCCTTACCAGCTGATACTTGACGGCGTTCTCACCGACCATAATTCCGTTAGTTCTGCTACCAAACTGAATATAAGCAGGACACCTTACAAACAAATGGTATTTCCCAGAAATAAAGGTTCCAACTTTGAATCGAACGCGACCATCAATCTTGATCATCAGCAACAAACTTCCTGTAGCTTGGTCTTGACTTAATGCAACTGAATTGTACGGAGCTACCGGCACGGCGGTTCCATAGATAAAAGGGGACCAAACATCAATCTCTTTGTGCCCTTGGTAAGAATTAGGTAAGGCAGTACGGAGAGTTATTTGTTGGTTACGGTATGTGGCATAAATATCGAGTTTATCATAATAGATTCCGACTTTGTCATTCGGATTGCGAGAGGATATGGTGACTTGGAAGTTGGAAGTGAGGAAATTTGGAGATGAAACGTTAAAGGCGTAAACTGTAGCATCTTGGAGGATGAATTTTGGTTTTGAAGGACGGAGGATGGCCCAAACTAAGAGGATTACGAGCAGGGCAATGAGGAGGAAGATTAGGATTCCGGCGAAGATTCGACGGAAGAGTTTTCGGCGTCTCTCGCCATGGTTGCCGCAGTCTTTGGCTGACATGGTGGATGTGATATTGGTGGTGGAGAAGTGGAGAGAAAGAGAGGAGCTTTGTGAGGTAAGAGCTTTCGAGAGAAGGGCAGAGTTAATAAGACTTTTGAGGGAGATAGAATGTTAGCGGCGGGGCTCTTTGCTTTATGGGAGATGTACTGACGGTGTCGTGCGATGAACGCGTTGTGCTTGTGTTTATTTTAAGATCTTGTAGTAAGAAGTGAAGTGGTGATTAGTGCTTTTATTTTCTAAAGTTTTTTTTTTTTTCCCCGAGTTTGTGTGGTAGCGGTAGTGTCAGTGGTGGTGGGACTTGGGAAGGGTTTGGTTTAAAGTTTGATGTAATGATACTAATTTATTAAATTGAAAATGTGAGATAAAATACATGTAAAAGGTTGTTATTTATAATTTGTAGATTGTAGTTAACGTTGTAACAAAAAAAAAATGTTTGAGACTTTTTAGTACAGAATTAATGCCCTGATCAGACCTTTAATTTTTACTCTCTTCAACTTAAAATTGATGCGTCAATGAGTCTTTTAAAAAAAACTTATGTGTGGACATGAGAGAATCTACGTAATTTTCTTATGTCATTGGGTTTTGAAAAGTTCATAGTTGCTATTTTTCACCCAACAAAAAATTGACAAGTATAGTTTTAAATGCATATAGCAAATTGGTTGACCTAAAACCAATACTGAGATACTCCCATCAAATAAGTAGCTCTGGCCAGTTATTTACTGTCGTTAATGTTGAGACAGACACGTCAATCTCCGTCTAGTGGAGAAGAAAAGTCATAGCATAATAATTACCATACACTTGTTTTTGTATCTTCTCTAGTTTTATAGTAATATTTATTGGCTACTAGTTTTGATTTTTAGAATTATTTAGGTTAGTATTTATTTCGCAATAAAATCAATAGGATCCCTCGTAGTCGTTTTTCATGGGAACAACAGAGTAGATTGCTGGATTTTCATTCATGATTTAATGCAACAATCGACGTTGATAATTGTTGTTAAACCTGAAACCATATTAATATCCAAAACCTTATGGCCTGCATTTTTCAAAAGTTAAGGCCAATAATGCAAAAAAGATGCAAAGACGCAATAACCCCTTGGTTGTGCTTTCTCTAGACAACAAAACGATGTTGCTTTTTTGTTAATCAAACTCAGTAAAAAGACAAAAAGGCCAGAAAAGAAAATGAATGAATGCCTAACGACCAATAAAATTTCAACAGTTGGATTTCCATAATTCGAGACTTCATTTATTATTTGTGTTATCATTGCATACTGTTCTATCATCCTTAGCCACTTCAATTATAAAGGGCTCAATTTGATTAAGTACTTTTATCACCGTTCAATAGTGTTCACGAAGACCAAGGGACACGTATCAAGGATATACTGGCTGGGGCCCAGTCACCAATAACAGAGAAGTTGCCAATCTCATCTTTACCGACTTTCTTTGGGGTTCTAGAATCTACTTTCTGTCTACCTGCCAAAGCCTAACGTGACTGACTGCAGGGGATAAAGAATCAATGAATTATAAATATTAGCAACCATTTCTCATGATTAATTAAGGTTAGATACACCAAATGATTTGTGATTCAAAGCTCACCCTTTTTTTTATTTTTATTTTTATTTTTTGCTCTATTTACGGCTTAAAAGCACACAAACTTTCTCAACATTTTTTGTTACTTAGAAACTTTTTGTACCCTTTTTCCCCTTAAATCGTTTGAATCTTCCCAAGTATGGTTTGAATTTGCCATTAGCATTCTCAAAAGAGTGATAGGCTGATAGCCACCGCAATTATAAATTCGAAGAACTTTTAGAATTGTTTGCTAGTAATAAATTAAAATTTCTAAAGTTTATTGTTAAAATAATTCAATTTACAACTGACCCAGCATCAATGAATGTGTCCCTTAAACCAGGGCAAAAAATACTTCCACCAATACAAGCAAAATGCATGATGTTTTTTTTTTTAATGAATTATTATAAATTTGTAGTTGTATTGTTGATTGAATATCAATAAGACGAATTACAATTAAAAAGTTTATGCAGTGGAATACATAATTATAATTTTTAGTATGCACCTATCTAATTTTTTACGTTCTATTTTTGAGTAATTATCTATCTTAACATAAATATACACATGTTATTAATTAAAAATAACAATTAAAAAGAAAAAAAAATCATCAGTAAAAGTATGCTTAAAATTGATTTTTTTTCAAAAAAACAAAAAAGGAAAAAAGAAAAGAAGTTTGAAAATACTTTTCTATCTATGTGCATGTTACAATTTCTTTTCTCTTTTCTTCTTTTGGTACAAGATCGAGTTTATTTTTGGCAACATATATCAAAATGTAAAATTTAATTCATTCATAAGGAAAAAAAGGTAAACTTATTAACTCGAACAGGTCCTACAATTTCTTTGGTTTGCTAAATTCTTCGAATTATTAATTTTTAAATTTTTAAATTCAAAACTTCTAATAAAATTAGAATTTAAACATGTGACTTATTGTATATATATATATATAAAATCATTATCAATAAACTAGAAGTTCATGGGATTTTTGAATTATTATCTAGCTCATTGGTTTTTTGAATTATTAATTAGTGTTGTTAACAACTATGATCCCTTATGTAATCCTCACTATCATTTTTCATATTGCTATAATTATATTAATTACCAATAAATTACTTTTTTGAGTCAAGAAAAAATAGTCTGGTTGGTGAAGTTAGAGGACCAGAAAGAACAACAAACTCATCGATTTAAAGTGCCGTTACCATAATTAGAATTTTTAGTAAGTACCTATCTAATTTTTTACATTCTACTTTTGAGTAATTATCTATCTTCATAAAAATATGTGTGCTCTTAATTAAAAATAAGAATTAAAAGAAAAAAGAAAAAAGTCATCAATAAAAGTACTCTTAAAATTTTATTTTTTTTCAAAAAAAAAAAAAGGAAAAATGAAAAGAAGTTTGAAAATACTTTCTATCTACGTGCATGTTACAAATTTTATTCTCTTTTCTTCTTTTGGTACAAGATCGAGCAAATGTTTGGCCACATAAATCAAAATGTAAAATTTAATTCATTCATAAGAAAAAAAATGTAAAATTATTAACTCGAACTGTCCTTCAATTCCTTTAATTTACTAAATTCTTCGAATTATTAATTTTTTTATTTTTAAAATAATTAAAATTTGAATATGTGATTTTGTAAATATAAACAAAATGTCACTAGCTCATTGGTTCTTTAAATTATTAATTATTACTGCTAACAACTATGATTGGTCGTGTAATTCTCACTATCATTTTTCATATTGCTATAATTATATCAATTACCAATAAATTACTTTTTGGAGTCAAGATAAAATAGTCTGGTTGGTGAAGTTAGAGGACCAGAAAGACCAACAAACTCATCGATTTAAAGTGTCGCTACCATGATAAATTAAAAGAAGAGAAACTTTTTCTATTCATCTTTCTTCATCTTTATTATTATAAATTTGGTTTGTTGACGTCCCACCTACCAATATTTTGTATTCCAAAACACATACCTCTCTCTTTTGCAATTTTTTTGTTTCCTTCTTGATTACAATCTTTAAAACCCTAGATTGCCATTTGACTAATTAATGACTTCCTTTTCAAAAAGAACGGCAAACGTCTGTTTACATGTCGCCCAAAGTTCAAAAATCCACATCACCGTAGTTAGCTGCAATCATATATTAATTCAAAGTCCAACCGATGTTGCGTGGAAGTTAAAAAATGCAGCCATGTGAGCTCAACCTTCATATTTACTCCCCTGTTTTTTTTTTTTTTCAACGTTTCGGTCAGCTCCAAGGAGCTACATGGCTGTAGAACAATTTCTCAGAAACTTCTGTCACCTTAATTACTCTGATCAGACTTTATAAAATTGTGGGTCTAAATTAATAGATATATACATATGCTTCACTAATCATTACAATCTAAGGAACAAAATTTAAATAACTATGCCTCGACTGACTCAAAACTTAATTAGTAAGTTAAAACGAGTACCATCATTCAAAGAAAAATTAATTAGTATGGCTAGCTAGATAGGAGATAGAGTATCAGGGCGAAATTAAATAAATGCAGCATAATATATTGTCATGAAAAAACCCAGTTGCTCTGGCATTTTTGTTTATTTGTTTATCCAATTATCGCATCCTGCTTAATTAACAGTGAAGAACAATTATATTTGGTAATTTACGTGGGATCTTAGTGTTTAATTATCAGATATGTTTGCTTTTTAAGTATACGGTACGATGATCTGTTGAAAGAGTCCGTCTAATGAAACGTTTTGTTTTTTTCTTTTCTCTGAACAAATTGGCTCCCCAACTAACTTGATTTTTTAAAAAAAATTATGAGGAGCATAGCTAGCTAGCTATATCCTACCATCCTCAGTCATCAGCAAGTTGCTTAAAAAGGGTCGTATTAAAGAATAGATGGTGAGCACTTTCACACTGAATTTTCTTGATTTAAACCTAAAATATTATATCTAAAGAATGGTTGGTTTACTCTAAATTTTTTTTTTTGTTAATATATATTTGGTACGACGACCATATTTCCTAATTAATTGAAACACATGCATACTGAACCAACTGATCAAATACATATAAAATTAGGAGAGGACTGAAACATAGTACTACTTAATGGAGGGGAAGATTCAGAGCAAGTGCATTTTTGGACTGGTTGAGAACCACAAATTAGTCATAAAATTGCATCAATAAATTACAGGCAGGGCATGTGATCCACCATTATTGACTCCAAAAGTCGGAAACAGGAGCTAAAGGAGAAAAAAGATGGAAAATGACATTAGGATGGGGGAAAAGAGACTCTAATTAAATCAAGAATTTTTTTTTGAAATGTTGAAATTTGCATTTTAATTAACATTGGTAAATGGCAACGATTCTTTCTCCTTGCCGTGAGCAATCTTTCATCTTAAGGCTGGATGGATTTGCCCTCAAATAATTACAAACAAATTAAAGTACCTGTTTTACCTCATTATAAATATATATAATTTCTAAAAGGGAGAGTTGCAGCTGGACTTTTGAGTAGCACAAATTATTTTGACATTTTGATTAAATGCGTCTATCCTTTTGAATTAATGTGGTAATTTTTACTCCAATGGCAAACAAGTTTAGTTTAATTTTTTTTAAAAAAAATATTTGTAAGTAGTGGTGTGTGTGTATATATTCGACTGTTTGTTTTTTGTTCCACCACAAAAGAATTCTCGTTCGAGTAGGACCATGTACAGCTGCAAAGAGGACAGCCCAAAATTTTGTGTACTGATTGTGAACAAAAACAAGAAATTAGAAGGTGAGGCACCGTCAATGAAACAGAAGTAAGAAGCCAAGGATATCCCTACAGATACATGTGGTAGTTTTATTCCAGTGGGTAGAATATCCTATCCGGGAACGAAAGGCTTCTTCTACTTTGCAATGCACTGACATTTAGGCTGATTCCCATGGCCATATTGGTGTACATAAAAGTCCCTACAACAGATATTCTTCGAAGTTCGAACCTCTAAAAATCCAATTTTTTCACTATTTTTTAATGTCTAACATTTTTTAATGTTTGCAACCATGAAATGGAAGGCTCTATCCACTAGGATAGAGCTAGCTAGCCCTAATGTAACCATTTGATTTGTGCGTGGCCGGCACGCTCGACCTTCGTTTCTAGGTTTAACATGAGAATGGAGTGTGACCATGGCTTTGCTCATCGACATCGACTAGTTGGCTAGCGAAAGAGACAATACCGCGACGTCAGGATTGATCAGGAATAAAGGGCAAGAACCCTTGATGGGTAGGGATTCTCGCGGCAGAAAACTCCAAAATCAAAAGGATGGAAAAGATGTATAGAATATGAAAGAAAGGGATTTTTGGAATCCTAAGTTATCTTTATATATCTTTTAAACAGAAACTGAATTAATTGATCTCATACTTAGCTTTTGACAATGTATGTTTTGGTTGATAATGTTTAATTTCGATAACCGTTTGTTTGGATGAGCTTAATTTTGAACATGAAGAAATCAACATTTGTAATAGTGAAAAGAACAAACATATTTAAATCCACAACCTAAATTATATATATATATATATATATATATATATTTTTTTTTTTTGTTTCCTGAATAAATTATATTCTTTTCTATTTATATATGCTATAAAATAATTACTTATTTAAAATTTTAAATATTACATTTTTATAAAATATACTTATCTTTTTAAAAAAATTGGAACTCAAATTTAACATAATAGAAGGGTATTTTAAAAAAGTAAGGGTGTTACGACAAAAATTACCTCCGTTCTATTGCAATTTAATAATTTTGGATCTTTATTACTAATTTATATAATTAAAACCTTAAAATATCGATTTTTAAATAAATTTTATCCAAATTTGTTAAATGTAATGATGTATCCGGTTGATTGTTAATTTTAAAAAACAAGTTAAAAATTATTTTCCTCTATTTTTCAAGAGTATTTACCTATAAATAAATAAATAAAGTTCATTAAATTTATCAGTAAACATTTAAAACATGCTTTTATTTTTTGAACTTATCTTTAAAAAAACTAGAAATAAAATAAAATTAAAAAAGTTTCTAAAAAATAGTTTTCTAATTCTAACAATTTTAAATTCAAATATATATATATATATATATATTTGAATCAATATATACTTAAAAGATAATTTTGATATCTTCCTCTCTGTTTGCTTCTATCTTCATATCCAAAGACCCAAATCGGTTTGAAGTGCTGTATAAGTCACAGGAGGCTTCCATTTTTCAAAAGAATATAGAAGTTAAGCCCTTGTTCACACATATACAAGAGCATTAGTACTTGCTAAAAAAATGTGGACCAAGTAAATTAATTAATACTACCAAGTTCAAAGACAAGAGTGATGAAAATTCGAAGTTGGATTTGATGTTTTCCCATGGTTCACGCTTTCCAGCACATATTTTTATCGACCCATTTCTAAAATATTTTCTTCAAGGTCTTTGGGTTCCAATTTGCTTCCAAATCCATTTGGAAAGATTGGAAGTTTCCTACCAAACGTTGATCATAATGGAAACAATATTCCAGACACATGATATAACGTTAACCTCACTCTTTCTCTTTCCTAATAGAGTCACCAGGGTCTTGATCATGCCCTACCGGTGGCAATATCATGTGGCCCCTCTTATCGTGATAGGCATGTTATCATGTCCATACCAAATGTTTATAAAGGACACCCCAGGACCATTTGGTTCATTACGTTGGGCTTCAAAAATAAGTTAAAAGCCAGATCATCTAAGTTAGGCAACCTAAGACAGAGCAGGTTCCACTCCCCTTGTTACATAGACCAGAGTGGAGTCAATGTCCTATTAATATTATAATAAGTATAAAAGAAATGAAAATAAAAATAAAGAACTTGTAACTCAATGCAATAATGGAAAGGCTAACAATCATTTGAAAAATGTTCATTATGTTACTGATGTGAATTTAACTGATGCATATTCAAGTCCTACCTCAGCGCCATCTTCATAGGTCGCAGAAGAAAAAAGTGCACCATGTATTGAAATAAAACACAGAACAAAACAATATCACTGAATACATATTAAATTATGATGAAGCTTAGAATCCTTAAATGCATGTGAGCTGCAATGCTATGTTCTGTCTGAGCTTCATACAGACACAGGTGCCTGTCGTTAGTTATAAACTACATACAACTGAATTGAAAACTTTCCTCAAAGATCTGCTTTGATGCTAGCTAGGATGTCACTAGTAACCAAACTTTCTACTTCCATAACCATGCAGAGACCTTGATCTCTCACGCCCTAGGACAGGGATTGACAGTTGCTTATAACGCTGCACCATCTGAGACAAGTGCAGTCTGTGCAGCAAGATAAGAATAAGAACGGGTGAGAGGTCTCCCAACCAGCAAGACCAGATACATAGCATTAACCAACACATAGACCAGAGGAAAGTTCCACCGTCACGTTTCAAGTAAATTCGCAGTATAAAAACAACAACACGATCCATGTACAACAGCTTTGTGCCTCAAGTGATCCATGAAATTGTTGCGCACTTACAATGGATACGCTATATCTAGATTAACTCATGACCCTCGCCGATTCAATTATATTGATTTCCTTTTCTGTCAAGGATTTCATTAGGCATAAAACATCGATCATAGTACATGCCAAATTAAGCATCCCCTTGCAATCCCGCATAGACAAAGCAGTATCCTGAAAGACTCTTGCATCTGAAAATACCAACAACGTACCAAAACCAGAAGGTCTCATAAGCTATCCGAATAGAGGGCAAGCACATTAATGTTAATATTTGCAGCTCATCACAAATCACTCCAGTAAATGTCCTAGGCCATCCACCTCATGTGCTCCACATATTAAATTTTAGTGCTTATATTGTCAAAGGACCATCTCAACCTAAAAGCTTTAATTATTATATAAGATCTCAAGATATGATTTATATGACTCTCTAACACATCTCCTTAGATTAAAGCTCTTTATGCTTAAAATTTGTAAAGGACCACACTTCTTTGTGCTTAATTAATTAGAAGAGTGGTGAGATTTAAACTCCTAACCATTTGGTCAACAAGACTTTGATATCATATAAAGGACTATCTCAAATCAACAATTTAAAACTTAGGTGAAATTTTAAAATATGATTTATAAAGGATGCATCAAGACAATCCATTTCATGTCGGGGATATAAAAAAGCAACTTAACATGACAGTCATCAGGCAATCGCTAAATTAGAAACAAAGCTTCCACAGCAGCAGGCAAGGGTTAATCCAAACTTCAGATCTTTACGCTCTCCAAACGAGTAATCAGAAGTCCCACATATATGCACACTAATCGAAACTAGAGCATTATATGCCCTTCAATGCAAACAGAATTTATGAAAAACATTTTGAATTGTAGATAATCTGAATGGGGTTAATATATGGTACAATAAATACCGAAAAAAGAGTTGAGTGTTGAAAAATCATGGTTCTTGCAAGCTAATTAAAGCCATTTCTAATTACCTACGTAGCACTGTGGCCGAAGCTTGTATCTGTTCACATGGACAAAACTAGCCATGCATATCAGCTGTAAGCTTCTGATAAGGACTTATCTTCATCCATATTCAAGAAATCAGAATGACTTGCATCTCGGAGAAAGAAAATACATAACCATCGAGATGAATTTGTCATTGTCCCAAGTCCCAACATACTGAATTTTTTTTTTTTTTATAAACTCACACACCGAAAGATCGATCCCCTAGCATAACTAGGTGTTGAATCCGTGATCTCTTACATAACAACCGAAGTGAGTTTATTTATTTAATTTTTTTCTACTTAACTTATACACCTAAAACTCCTACTACTACTAGCAGAACTAAGATTTGAACATATGACTTCGTACATAAAAGCAAGAAGTCACTACCAATGATACTGAATTCCATAATATCAAAAACCTTTCAGAGTGTTAAAATGATTGAGAATTATTCAACCACTGGCAAAAAATACATGAAGTTTGACTGCATTGCAGTATCATCATCATAACCTATCTAAGTATATAATATGAAAACAAAGCTAGAATCAGTACCAACAAGAAAAACGTGGCAGAAAAACCTGTAATGCATAGACATATTTTGGTGTCACAAGCAATAAACAACTAATAATATAAAGTGTAAAGCAAGATCAAATTTACTTACTCCGAGAACAAATGTCAGAAAGTGAGGCACAAATTATTTCATGCATCAAACAAGTACTTACTTTTATATCTAGTGAGTTAAAAAGCTGTTACAGAAGCAACTGCATTGAATCCACCATACGATAGCAGAACAGAAGGCTTAGAAGCACTCTAGATTAATGAAACAGCAATAATATATTTTGTACAGACTCCAATGTCAAGCATTAACAATCTTAGACAGTGTCATACACAATTCAAAAAAACCTACATTAGAATAAACAGGATATACAAAATCCGAGTTAAATTACAAACCAAAAAATTTATATGATTTTGAAATATGCAGTTTCATATGCTAACTTTACCATGATTGTTTTATCGATATATCATACACAAATGATCAGATAATCGAGTTTCAATAGCTAAATTAGGAATTTTTTTCAAATCTCAACTCAAAAAGATTTGAAGATATTAAAGAAAGTAGACATGTTTTTCAAAAGGTCAAAAGAATACTTGAGGTTCATACACACAAGAATTGATGGGAGAAGGAATAAGTAATTAGATAGACAAATATATACAAGGGACAAAATACAAAAATATATTTCACTTAAGTATTTTTGTACATACGAATCACTCACTACTATAGACAATAGACCTTCATGCTTTCACTCATTTTCTCTATAACACTTGATTAACTTTTTAATTTTTGCACACATGAACTTATAGCCAAAATGCCGTATTTATATTAGCTTAAAGATGGTTCTAGTAAATCAAAGGATAAGCACATTATAAACGCACCTAGAAGAGCTAAAAAGACTCATAGAAAAACTGTAAGAGAATTCTTGAATGTTGACAATGCTAGATTTTGTGCACATTATAAATGAACATAGACTTAGGTTTTGAGTTATGGACTTGCGGTTTAGACTTGGACCAAATCAAGTTTAACTTCTAAAATCTCCCTTTAAACTTAATTTGGTAACTCCAAGTAGGACTCGTCACTTGCGGAACTCATTCTTCTTGAGTGATTTAGTGAGAATGTCGACTATTTGGTCTTGGAATTTCATGAACTTCAATTGGACCCTCTTTCTTGCAACACTTTCTCTGATGAATAATATTGAGTATTTATGTGGTTACTCTTTTCATGAAAGATAGTATTTTTTTGTCAAGATAAGTGCTTATTTGTTGTCAACATAAATCTCAATTACCTCTTCCAATAACATATTTAGCTCTTTCATCAAACTTCTTAACTATTGTTATAAACCAAATTTCCCCCACTTTATTTTTACTTTTTTTTTCTTATTTTGATTTTATCCCATTTTTATTTAATTTTTAATTTATTTTCATTATTAGAATTAATTCATAAAAATACAAAAAATATAAAAAATAAAAAGAATTTAATTGTTAAGGGCACAATTGAATCAAATAAAATGATAATCACAATTTAAAATAACCTAAAATAAATAATTATTCAATCTATCATAGGACCTAATTAGTGCATAAAGTAAATAAAAATAAAGATGAAAGGCTTGATGTTTCGGCTATGGAGCCTAAAACATTAGGCCTATGTTGTTGAGGAGACACTATGTGTCAACTCTACTTGGTAATATAAAAATCATGTACAAGCATTTAAAATCTACAAAAAAAAAAAAAAAAAAAAAAAAAAACCCAGAAAGAAGTCATAAAATCCTTCATTGCTACAAAAATAAGAAGCATAAAAATAGAATAGTCCAAGTGCTCACAAAATATTGTCAATGACTTGGTTACAAAACCAAGTAAATTCAATGCTTCCCATCTCAACTACTAACACTGAAATTAGCAATATTATACATTTTAAGTACGTAGAAAATGAACAATTAACAAAAATAGTTAAAAAAAAAATCATAAAACATTATATTGCCACTGTTCCTTCTATTGTACTTATAGATTTAGTGGCATTATGGATACAAAAAAAAAAAAAAATTAGTGTCTATTTTATTGTTCTACAATTGTTGGCTAGTGCTGCTGTGTTGTTCTTTTACCTATTCTTTTCCTACCTTATTTGTGCGCCCTTTCATTTGCCACATTTAATGTTTTTTTGCTATTACCTTTGGCTTCTTCGTTTTCCTTTTTCATTCCTACGTGTTTTGCCTTTTATGATTTTATAACACCAAATGTAGATAAGATAGATCGGATATATATATGTAGTCAAAAAAATTTGTTTCCTTCCTTATCTTCTTAATTTGAAATACACCAAGCCGGTAATAGAGTGTATCATTCAAATCATTAAAAAAAATAAAAAATTAATTTTGATTGGTATATAAATTAATCAAAAATACATTTGATTATTGAAAGAAAATCATGATTATTTTTTTGTGGTTTGTTATTCAATAGTTTAATTCCACTTCCTATAACGCACAATAATTCCTCTTCTTCTATTTTTATGGACTGCCAATGGTACATGAATCACGTTTCAACTCGTAATCGCATTGAGTTTTCTATACATCTATACAGGAATTATCCAATCTACATCCTCGTCATAAAATAAATAAATCAAGAAAAACAATTATTATAAACTTCATTTGCTTTTGAGATATCTGCATCACATGCAACGTGATGCACTCGTAATCGCATTTTGTGATTGGGTATGTCAATAATTTTGCCATTCCGAAATTTTGATGGTGCTATAGAACATAATAAAATAAACATCTGAAAATGTTTGAATGCCATGGAAGTCATGTCATTAGTAAATTGATGTTAAAATAACATATAAGTAGCTTGCCATTACTCATTTTGAAACTTAACAATATTGTGATAGGTTGGTTTTTTTTTTTTTTTTTAATAATAACAATAATAACACTGAGAGTTCGTCATCTTTCTCTTGGACACGTGAAACTTAAGGGTGATCAGATTATTATTTATTTTTTTAGGAAAAAAAATAACAGCTTCTGATTTGAATGTGTTAACATATCTTCTTCTTTTTTTATCATTTACGTTTTACATCTAATTTTAATGTTGTACGTTTTTCCACCATACACGTTTTGTTTTTAACCTTATAATTGACACTTACACTTAACTCATGTTTCATTAAAGATAATATTGAATTTATTACAAAAATGTTATTACACAAGGTTAAAAAAATCAAAGTTGGATCCTCTTATTTTCGAAAAAAATGTAATTGACGCTACTGTTTCAGGTCTATTTTCAAATAATATGCGATCAAGTTTTCTTTTTCTCAGATAGTAAAATCAAGCACATTCATTTTGAATTCAATATTTATTTTTACAATAAAGATATATTCAAATTAATTTACACGATAATTAAGATTAACTATCGTTACTACTGATTTTAAGAACATACTCTGCATATCGGTCCAATGCATCTAAAAAAATTCAATTAATTCTTCTAAGTATTAATGACCAAATATTTGAATTCAGAAATAAAAAATAAAGCAGAGACTAATTTCTTGAGGTTTGAATAAAATAATTTAAATTAAATAAACATCACGTCACCATGACTAGAGGATCGGAGTAGCAATATTTTTCATCTCTAACTTTATGCTAATTTCATTTTCTTTTTTCTTTTCCTTTCATTTGATCCGAAATTGCTCATAAATAATAAAACCAATAAATGAAAATTGGAACATATCGATTTAAAACAACCAGGAAATTAAAAGAATAAGAAAAAAAACAAGTATATTTTTATTCTATACGTTCCACAGAACTTCACTTTTGCTACTATTTTTTTCTAGTGATTCCAGAATTTCAAAATTGATCTCCATAGATGATAATTAACAAGCTTAAGAGGAAATTGAAAGATAAAATAGACTCGTTTTAACGTATAAACTTTTTTTTTTCCCCTTTCTTTCTCGTTTATGACATGCAAATTACCTAGGGAAAACTAAGCAATCCCTATGTCCATTGGCTGCAATATTTCCATTACCTGAAGCACCCGCAAAAGTAACCTGAATATCTTCACACAGAACTCTCATGGTTAAATGCCTTTTCCACGTTAAACCAGATCTAAACGTAGTCCAAAATACCATCCTGAAATTAAAACTCACTGCTCCATTGCTCCTTTCCTTGGTTAATTTGTCCACCACCCAGTTCTCCACCGAGTTATCCTTGTTATTGGCCGATAACTTGGCATGTATTACGTTGTCTGTCTTTGTTTCCAGGGAGAAAGGCTGGGAAATAGCAGAAGCAAGAAGATAATCTTCGTCGTAGAACACAAAGTTCTGTATTTGACCAAAATCTATTTTCAATCTGGTATTTGGATTTCGAACTGTTACATTGGCTTCCCAATCAGCAGTGAAGATGGGCAAGGTGGCATTGAAATTTGAAACCGAGAAGTTGTCGACATGAAAAACAGGCATTTGAGGATGCAATACAAGCCACGTAATGATGGTTGCCGTAAACATAAACATTACCACGAATATTGTCATTATCAGGAAGCATCGTAAGAAACCTGATGACCTTTGATATCCTTGTTGTTGATGCGATGTTGCATTATAATAGGCTGCTGCCGCTGGTGGAGGTGGTGATACTTGTGCATAAGGATAATAGCCGGGCGGCGGATAGCCTGGATATTGTCCCGGTGGTGGTGGATAGCCCATTGCAGGAGGATAACCCATTGCTGGAGGATACCCTGCCCCTGGATAATTATGGCTTCCTGAAGGTGGAACATGATGATTGGTGCTTTCGGATGATTGGCTTTCTCCCTTATTTTGTTGATGATTTTGAGTGGATTCAGAAGCCATACTGATTAATGATCTCTCTCTCAACAATTTCCAATGGAGAGAGCGAGAGAGAGCGAGAGATTTTAATTCTGGGGGATGGAACCAAGAAGAAAAGAAGAAGAGCATAGAGAATCGTGGGTGGCATAAACGCGTCCATAGTGTGTTGTATGCTAAGTTTAAGCTAACATAGACAAATGGAATGGGTTGGTTGTCCTGTCGATGATATTGGTGTCTTTGGCCATATTAGCCATTGGGTTCTCTTTCTTTCTTTGGCAGCTAAATACAACTAATAAGGTTAAACAAATAGTACACAATTTCAAGCTGTATTTTATATGAAGCCTCCAAGAAAAATTGAGAGATGCATCGCAAAACTTCTTAATTTGTTGACATTAAAATGTTAATCATGATAAGTTTTTAATTCGATTTAATTGTAAAGACCGAAATCAAATCAAATTAATTATGTTGGTAAGAATATACTCCTCCTTAGTTGTTTCCAACTAAATTCCCCACGTTTACTTTTACATTTTACATGTCTACGTATGTTGAGAAGGACCCCAAATATTTCATTGCTTATCCTATTGAGTAATCCAATGGCTGAAAAAAATGCTGCTCTTTTTTATTTTTAAGGATTGGCAATAGTTTAAATTCAGATTAATTATTAGTGAATGTTTCTGCCTTTTTTCGATGAAATAGATGATATTACATATGACCAAGAAAACTACAGGTGATGGATTCCATGGTGCACAGCCCTGTAGGCCGTCTGAAATTTTTGGCGGCAACACTAGATAGATCAATTCTTGGTTGTAGACTGCAACGCCAAAACTGCTTCAGAGAAAACAACGCTCTGCGATTCAAACAATGTGATTTTTTTGTGAATTTTCAAGTGCAAATTGTGTTGATTACAGCTGCAGTATTATTCCTAAAAAATACAAAAATTCAATAGGAAGGAAAAGAAAAGGGAAAATAATATTAATTAAGAACAAGGAAAGAAACGACAGAAAGGTCAAGATCACTTGAGCAATGGCACCAAGCATGCTCTGGGCTCGTCACCAGTCATCGTGCCAGCGCCTGGAACAGTTTCAAACAACAGAACCAAGTCACTACATTTAGCTTTCAACCAATAGACCCAAGACCAAGGTCCTTTCCTAAAAGAAACCTGAAAATTCAACATCAACCCCAAATGCAATGTTCCATTATCTCCATCTCTCTTTATCTCCTTCAGTACCCTTTCCTCGATAAAAGGCTGTTCACCCCCTCCACAGCCAGTGGCATTAAATTTGATCTGCACCAATTTCTGCTTTTTAGGCCCCAAATGAATTGACTCCACTAATGCACACGATAGAGCGTCTTGATGATTATAGTAAACATAACTTTCAAAACTTTCAACGTAAATCTCGAAATAACTGTGCCGGTTCCCGAACAATAACATGGCATCCCAATTGGCCCCAGATATGGAATTCGATACGTTAAGGTCCGATACAGAGAAAGAATTGAGTCTGATCACTAGAGGCTGTTGCTGTGTTCGTGGACTGTACTTTGAGTTCATCATAAGTCCTAATGTGATGATTGATACTCCTGCCACCACGGCAAGCAAGAAAAGAGCAAGCTGGCAAATGCTTCCACAGTCTTCAGACTTCAACGATGCCATTGTTCTTTCTGCAAAAAAATGAGAATTGATTTATTTTTGTTTCTCTAACAATATCTTTCCTTCCAGGAAAATCATAGGAAGGACTCCAATTTTTTAAAATAGTCTGATAATGAAGAGATGGTACAATTAATTTCTTCAATCCACTACAGATTTAGAATCTAATTGGCCTAAAATGTTCTAACAAAGTTTATAAATTATAACTCTAAAACAGAATTTTTAATGCGATCCTTACAGTAACACATATGGCATAGTGATCTTTTATTAAAAAGGGGGGAAAAAAAAGACAGAAAACAGAAGCAATAGAAAAGGATCTCTTTCTGGTTTTTAACAGGATTTAAAATCCTATACGCATCTTTTAACTTCTTCCATTTTCATTCATATTAATTTGTTCAATCCCTAATTCTGATCAAGTAGGAAATACAGTGAAAATTTGAGGGAAAAAAAACAGTAAAACTTGTGAAGATATTGCTGGATGAAACGGATATGTACCTTGTGTATATAGATAACTGAACTTGTTGACTCGAAAATTTATGATTTTTCATAGTACAAATGCACTCGTTGATGGTGTTGCTTCCAATTCGAAGACTAACAACTTCAATTTGTGAGAATAAAAAAAAAGCGTAATATTTATAAATATAATAATTTGGAAGGTTTGGGTCACCAACGGTTGATAACCAACTGTCTGAGAGGTTCTTTTGGAGGGAGCGGTTTTCCATTGGCATTTTTACTAATTTACCCTCCTCGCAATTTGGTTCCGTTTAGGTGAGGACCATTTGGACCTCTAAAATAAATTTGTGTTGTTCCTTGTTTGGATCAAATCTCCTTCACGTGTTCTTATTACTATGTCATTAAGTTGAGCACCGAGCACCGATGTGTAACATAGGAAAAATATAGTATAGAAAAACTTCTGTGTTATTGTGATTTGAAATCGAGAAAAGCTATTAGGTATATTTGATCCCATTTCGTACAAATAATGGTATTATCATTATATAATATTATTATATTTAATTTTTTTTCTTTTTCTTTTTTAAAATATTTTTCTTCTTTTTTTTTAAAAAAAAATTGAATCTATCATACATTTTTTTAGATATTATTCATGTGAAATCCGACATCTTGAAATTCTAATATATTTTATTATTTTTTGTCAAATGTAAAATCTTATCTTTTGAAATTGTAATGTATTTTGTTAGTTTTTATGATATGTTAAATTATTAAAAATGTTATTAATAATTTTTTTTATAACTATTAATTATTATTGTATGATATTAAACTATTAAAGATGTTATCATTATGTTTAATTAGTAAAACTATTAAAATATATATATATATAACTAATGTATTCACAATATCCATTGTCGTGATCGATATTTTAATATCTTTATAAACCGTGATTTCGATCGTTTTTACAATCGTGTCTCGCTATTTAAAATTACTATAAGTCGATAAAAAGTAGTGAGGCTCGAGGCATAATTAGCATAGGCTATCGCATTTTTGGATTGAAGATTACCAGAAGAAGCCATGGAGTGCATATTAGAGAGCTAATTAGAAATTAACAGGAAAGGCTGTTGATCATTTTGGCCATTAGCCACAAAATGGTTATTTTGACCACTAGCTTCAAAATGGTTAAATAACGGTGTCACAGGAAAGGTTGTTTGAGGCTTTAAGATAAGAATGTTCGTCCCTAGCTGTAGGATAAGATTGATATATGCTCTAGCATCATTTTTAGCTGGACAGAGACTTGCTAACTAGACAATACTGAGCAGCAATCATGTCACCATGGCAAACCCAAATATAAATCTATGTAGAAGATCCGGTTGGCTATTGGATAATTTTTTAAGGATTTGGATTGTTTTGCTGTCGCTAAAGGAAGAAAAGGCTTCTGTCAACGACGAGGAGCAAATTAGTTTCTTCCCACCAAAATTATTTTGTCGAGGGCTGATGGGCGATACTTGGATAAAAAAGCACTATAGGAGGACTAAAATGTAACTTCTGTATTTTGTCGAAACAATTAAATAAAGAAACGCTAGAAAGTTGTGAAATAATTCTTGAAGTGACTATAGGAATCGCGGCGTCGATGTCTAACTGGTTCTAAAAATTATCGAGGCACGTTGGTTCAAAATTTCTAGAATTAGTCTTTTTATTCCAAGAACAGCATGAAAACGATAAGAACCCGTGAACACTTTCTAAAGAACACATCAGGAGATAATGCCTTTTTCATTCCACAACCAACAAGACCTGCCACTTCGCCTTTCCCCTCAGTAAGGTCCTTTGTTATTTGAAATGACCAATGGATTTTGGAGTTCCCAACCAGTTGGTAATTTGGTACCAAAAGAAGGGAAAGGAAGAAAAGAAAATGAACATATTCTTATTAAAAAATTGTTTTCATTTGTTTATCCCCCATAAGAGGGACGTTGTACATTTTGTTAGGTCATCGTGTGCACATACATATACGCCTTGAAGGAAACATTCTCAGATTCGGTAGTTGGGAAATAACAACAAAAACTAAGAAGAATACAAGCCTAATGTGGATCGTCAGTATATCAAGCCACTTATTATTTGACCTTGTAATTGTACAAGAATGTAAATGGTGCGATATACTAAATTTGTTCTTCCAAATGTTTACCGTTTTTGCTCATTCCATGTCTTACCCTCAAAGAATTCATTCATCATGCGATCAAGGTCTTCAGGAGAGTACCTAATATACTTCTGAGGGTTTTTTCCATTCTCAATCATGGGCCTGTAACACGCAAAACAGTACTCGTTGCTATGAGTGAAGGAAAGAAAAGATGGATTCTTTTAAAGTAAGATAATAAGGAGAAGCCAGAAGAAGAAGCAGGTCACGAGGATGAGAATCATACCCAAAGCGCTTTAGAAAAGATCTATATGCGGGCAAGAGAACTTCAGCAACAGCCAGCCTTAAAGACTCACGCAACTCGCTGTCAGGAACGGTCCATTGAGATTGCCTTTGATGAAGCTCCTCAAATTGCGCATTGAAGGTCTTGAATCTATCTTTCACCATTGCTCTTGAAAGTCCACTAGCACTACCATCACCTCCCGTTGCACTACCACCGCCTGATGCACCACCCTGAACAGAGAGACACTGCAGAATCTGCACATCTAAGACACAAGCTGTTTAGCATGACCTCCTATTGACTGAGAGAACAAAAAAATTCACTAGAAACTATATAGTTGATCATAATTTTGGGTAACTGCTAGTTCATGTTAGTTACAAGCACAACAGCCAATCTTAAATCAAGTGAAAAGAGGGGCTGTTCAAGATGTTGTAATTTCTTATGACAAAAGCTTAAACAGTCAACTTAAGGATGTCAGCACTAAACCAGCAGTGAGCAATTCCAAAGTCAACAGAAATACC